TTGAGACTTTTGTTACATTTAAACACAAGTTCAGAACTATACCTTATAGATCTTCAAATCGCCGAACTTGACATCGAAGGAGTGCGGATAGTAAGGGGTGCGTTTGCCGTAGAAGTACTCGCGGATGCGCGCGTCGCGGGCCTCGGCGCGCTGCGTCGACGATCTCTCTACGACCTAACACACGTACATCATAAAATTACTTACCTAAAAACTAATATTTATTCGGAGTCATTTCATCTAACCCTAGCCAAGTTGTATATAGGAACGCATTTGGAACGAGGGACAACATTTTCCATGGGACCAGTATCTAAATCTCGAAAATAAAGGATGGAGAAGCAAAAGTTTTTTTTGAGATTTCCATATTGGTCTTATTGAAACAGTTGTTTTATTTGAGCACCAAAATCGGCTTCATGAATATGTATGTCCCTCGTTCAAAATGTCCCCCTATACAAAAAGCCACATGGTGAATGATGACCAACTTCTCCCAAAAGGTTCACAGGAGCTTACTTATGACCAAACTATGTAATATAACTGATCTTACAAGAACTCTGAATCGATATTTATTTTTGGGGGAAACATAATAATCGATGTGTATCAATTGATTTCAAAAAGGAATTTCACCAGAGGAAGTATGTAGATATTAACTAGAGGCTGTGCATCCAAGCTCTCTGATAAATCTGATCTCCAATTGCAATCATAACTATGATGTCCAACCTGCTTGCAAAGCGTGGAATTTATGACCAACCCTTCTATTGTAGGATGTGTTTATTTCAAATTGTTTTATTACATTTTCAACTCTATAGCTTTATAATACAATCGGCCGAAAATCAATTGAGGAATTATTTCTGGCTAATTTGAATTTAAATCAAAATAAGATTAACTCACGCCTTATTCCCTTGGAGGCAGGCATTAAGAACGAGGCGATTAATAGTTAAATGTACCTAATTCATAAACTTATAAGGTATACTTACACCCCCACTCTTTGGTAAGTAGACAACTTTGACAAACTTGGGCATGTCTCGCTTGAGCTCGTTGTAAAGCCTCTCATTGTCCAGAACGAGAATCACGTCCACCTGTGTATGGAAACAAGACAGTAATAAAAGCCTCAGTCCACTATACGGTTAAACCACGGCAATTTTAGGATAGGATGTGTGTAACCAGAAAATAAATACAATCGGCCTTACTTGTGGGTTAAAATACAGAAATATTTACAGTCATTATTAAGAGTCTGACTATAGATGATATTTATAGGTCGGCAAACGAGCAGAATGTTTACCTGATGGTAAGCAATCAGCGCCGCCCATGAACAGACGAGTTATGAGTGCGTTGCCGACCTTTTAGGGATTAGGGATATGGATATTTAAGGATTGAGAAGGGATGGGGGTAGGGGAGAGACTGGGCAACCGGTAACCTCACTTACACGGCAAAACACAATGCTGTGGTGGTTTCACGTCCGTTTTCTGTGAGGCTGTGGTATCAATCCGGCCCTTTTCCCTATCCCTTCCCAATCCTTATATTCGCAACCCCTATCCCCAAAAGGCCGGCAACGCACTCGTAACTCCTTTGGTGTTGTGGGTGTCCATGGGCGGAGCCGATTGCTTACCATTAGGTAATCCGTCTGTTCGTTTGCCGACTTATACTATAAAAAAATAATGTTGTAAAACTGCCGTTTTAGGCCTATTTGCAAAAATAAATTCATTGTTTCATTGTTTGCGTGGATATAATGTGTTACTGTTTGTTTGTCCCAAATAAATAAATAAATAATGGACCGCTACTTCTATCGGTTTAAAGGCGCCGAACTAGACGATTATAAACAGACTCTTAATGCAGTAGATGACCCTTTTCCTTACCTCAAAAGCTTGAGCGGCGTGTGAGAGCACCTTATATCCGTCTCCTTTAATCCATCCACAAGTGTTGATGATGACTCCTGATGTCGATGCTGAAACAAATATTTAACTATGATACACACGATGTTTCGTCGTGTGAGTAAGGTTACCAGGGCAAATCCTCCCTCCCTGACCCTCAATCCCCAAATCTCCTGTCATTAAATTCCTAATAACAATCAAGACGCCTGCAACAAGCTTGCTTTAACTACTTTGGTATTACTAGTGTCTACGGGCGGCGCCATTGCTTACCGTCAGGTAATCTATCTGCTCATTTGCCAACATAATATGTCATAAGAATTAGGTTAACAAGCCTGTATTTATATCATGGTTAGGTGTTCAACTTGTCACTAGTAGATCACAAAGCAAAAGGTTTAATTGAAATAATTAAAGTAATCTTTATAATCATCACATCTCCTGCATCTGAATAATTTGCCAATACAAATAATCCCCAAACTCTATTTGTCTACTACTAGGTAGCCCAAGGTTTCATTAGACATCTTCCAATTATGTCATTGCATTTATAACATAGTTTAAACATAAACTGAAAACGGGTTTCCGAAAGGCCGACCAATGTTAAAATGAATTTAAGCTCTTGTCAAGTCATCTGATTGGTAGACTGAATTATCAACAACCAATCAGATTTGACACCTAGTTATTTGATTTTAACATTGATCGGGCTTTCGAAAACCGGGTATTAGTAATACAAAAACAACAACTTACCTTTTTTATTATTCTCACATCGCTCAGCTATCACCTCAGCCAGCCTGCCCACTATAGTGTTGTACAGTTCCAAGTTCTCTCCCGGAGAGCTGTGGCCAAAGTGATACACCAGTGGAGCTTGCTGGCTGAAGCCTTCCTCTATTGAGGCTGGTCTTTCTACCAAGAGTGCTCCTAAGGAATAAAGAGTCAATTAAATTATTTGAATGTTAAAACATCTACTACTACTTGGCTTACGAAATATTGCAGTCAAATGTTTAATTCACTGATATTTTTTTAGCAAATAAATTAATCTCTATGTATGTTCAATTCAAATTTGCATATAAATACTTTTGCTATATAATTATTCTCTCTGGAATGGAAACAGTTTACAGTTTTTGACCACAACATGTGAGACAATTTTTTATTTTATAATTTATTTTAAAGATAATTACGTCTACCAGACAGATCATGTACTAGAAAAAGTTTGGCACAACTCACCTATGGTACCAGGTACGCTTATATGTCCCTGTCCAACATCCAGATCCACGTAAATAGGCCTCCTTCCCATCCTAACAGCATAATTCAATAAGATCCTAGTTAGAGTTGACTTGCCCACATCACCCGGCCCAACTACCATGGTGACTGGACCTCGAGTGGACTCCTGTTCAGCTGCCACTCTTTGCTGTTCAAGAGCTGCATGGACATTGAGGTATACAACCTGAAAAGGTGCTAATGAATAGAATGATAACATATTTGCTGGTAAAAAGAGTCTGTAAAAAAATGTATTTAGCTATAAGACCACCAATTGTAATTACAATATAATATTATATTTTAAATTTATACTTTTTTATTTTTATGGTGTACAATAGTGTTAATAAATAAAAAGATGCAAGTCAAAAGTCAAAAATCATTTATTCCTATGATACCGCTACACAACTTTTCAACATCAAACAAAATTTTGAAGATATAGTGTCACTATTGGTCAGTCCTCTGTGCGAAGCTATTTGTGTGCTACTTCAAACACTGTTACTAGTAAATAATAATTAGCATTATGTATCAATCAGATGCTTGTGCATTCTTAGAGAGATAGACATGCTATAAGAGACTACATAGTTATCATTTAAAATCAAGGTGGTTATCAGAAACTTAGTTTTAACTAAATAAAAATAATAAAAATTGCTCAATGTATTCATTACACAAGATATGATATTATGTTACCAATAAGATACTATCTTACACAATAACATACTAGTGAGTTACACAAAATTGTTAAATTGTACATAGAATGGAAATATTTTTTCTAGACTATAGTTTATTTTTAAACTATATCTTAAAACTGTTACCTTTATTTGAATAGTAATATGAAATGCTGCATACTGATTGTCCTGTTACCAAGGTACTTACCATAGGAGTCTCTTTAGCCACATAACTGACTTCAGTTTTGCCTCTCAATTCCACAGTGCAGCCGTGCCACGTGAACACGGCCACCTTCGCACCCGTATGGAACTCATAGGGTTTCGCTTTCACGAGTTCTGTGCCAAAAAGCTCCGCATAACCACTCTTCACCTAAGAAAAACACGTGGTATTATAACGTTTAACAAGATATTTTATATATGTATTCAGATTTTAATAAAAATAAAACTTTTAAAGTATATTTTTATAGCGTTTACCTCTAAAACTACTTTTTCGTTCTTAGATTCCACTTCAAACCTTAGTTCTGAATCCGGTTCAAGCTTGAACTCTTGCAGTTGAACCTCCGTCATCCTTGCAATTGACAAATCGTTTGATATCCGACAAAATACTTTCTTTTGTATGTATTTTCAAGCTACGATTCACAGAATTTAGAAAAGAAATGATATAAAAATTAGCGACCCAAACACAAACACGATCGTAATCGGTCGGTACGTTTTGACACCTGACATCTGTCTAACTAACGTTTCAATAGTAATAACAAAACGTTGGTATTTTTTTCAGTCTTTTATTTTATGTTAGTGTTTAATTTTATTTTAGCTCAGAGCATCATTGTCTTCATTCGACGGTTGTTGTATTTTAGTATTTTACAAAAATAAAAAGCAGCACCAGTTGCTGAATTTTAACATTATGTAAAAATCACTCTGCAATACTTTACTCTTTGTTAAAATAACTACCTTGGGATTCATATTTACGGGACAAAAATATTATTATATTATTTTTTATTGTAAAAAATGTAATTTTTTAAAGTCTAAGAGAAAATTATCAAGCATTACATAGGCTAAATAATTGTTTTTGGCGTTTCGATACAGCGCAGGAAAAACTAAACGTTTAAAACGACAATTTCTTTCAAAAATTGTTTTGATAGGTTGTTCATTATTTTATTTTCAATAATAAATAATGAAAATTATTTTGTAAACTGAAAGTTTCTAGTCCATAAACATAATGGAGAGTTCATTCTTTGAATACCGTAACGAGACAGCGGCTGACAGTGGTTCCGAATCGGAATTTATCGACGATAGCTTAGTTGACGAATCTTTTGGTGTAAAGAAAAAGAATCACACAGTTTTTGTTGCCGAATCTGAAGAATCTACAACAGATGGTAAGTAGAAACACCGTATTGTATACTAATGACGTCTTGATCCCGTTTCCATACCAGTATTTACATTAAAGTTATAAACCAAAACAATGTGATTTTCCCTGTCGAAGTTGGTCTATTCTCATTCAGAAACACAATGTAAGTAATCTCAATATATTTAAACAACTTGTTATACGAACTACAGTAACTTTTGAACACCAAGAGATCACCAAAGAAATCGAATAAGGAGTGGACCCCTGTTTAATTATACAACCTTATCCACATCAGATTTCGAAATAACTTTTACATAGTCCTTGTTGTGTTTAATTCAAACTTGTTTGTTTCATTTGCTCCTAGATGAAAATGAGAAAGAGCAGGCACCAAAGAATGTGTCCAAATCTGTTGTTAAACGAAGCAGTGTGGTCCACAGCCATGTTATATCTAGCAGTGATGATGGTAAGTGTTTTTTTTGATATCTCTTAAGTATTAGTTCACAAGTGTGTCTGAAAAAGCTTTATTTTGAGAATAAATTTGAATATAGAATGTATATTGTGTAAACTGCCACATTAGTTTATTGGTTTAATTATATTTTAGTTAGGATGAATTGAATAGACTCTGAAACAACTTACTTACACTTTACTTACACTTTAATTGCTGGGATTGTACACTTTCCCCAGTGAAAAAAGGCTATGTACTATGTAAGTAAACTGCAAGGTACAAATAGTAAAAATAAATGCAAAAGTAAATTATTGATAATATAATATAATTAAAAAATATTTAACCTAGTACTAAATTGATTTATTCAACATAATAAAAGTATTTCATTACCTTTGTGATTGATGCAACTTTTATAACCAAACACTATATTTTGCTACACAGATGGAAACGCAAGCAACAGAGGGAGTATCAGAAGGCAATCAGACTCCTCCAATAAAGTAGTTTTGAGTTCTTCGGAAGATGGTAATTATTTTATATATTTTAAATATAGTTTATACTCTTCCTATTTCCTAAGTGTTGGCTGGTAGTAGTTGAATGAGAAGAGCTAAACATTGAGTGGTGTACATTGGAGAACCCTATGTCCAGTAGAGAGCAGAACCAGGCTGATAATCATGATGATGATGATGATGATGATAATATTGTTCCTATCTTGACTGTTACATTTAGAGTGTGCAACTTTTATTATCACATTTATATATGTTCGATCTAAAACTTTGTTTGCAGACGCAGTTTCCCCCGAAATAGTCCCAAAACGCAGACCCCTGATTAGAAAATCATCAGCTAGTAACAATGACTCAATCATTGGACGTAAAACCAAGAAACGAATGATGCTCATCGATTCGGACACAGAAAATTCAATCATAATAGAACATGACAAGCATAAGAAATTATTATGTACGAAGGATACCCCATTGAAAATAGACAGTGGGAAAAACCAGAAAATTAATGACGAAAGTATGGTAGAAGATAATCTATTAAAGAATGACAGTCAAATTGTTACGGATAGTGACGATGAAGAAGAGGTTCAGAATGCAAGTAGGAATGTTGATAAGACTAAATCTTTAGTCTATGGTGGTTCTGATGACAGTGACAAGGGTACGGATGAGGAGTATGAGGAGAGTGATGACGAAGGCCCTGATGAGGATCAGATGGTGATGTCCAGAGCAACGAGGATGAGTATCATGGGTGTGGTACCGAAGGGTAATGATAGCGACGAGTCTGATTTCATTCAGTCAGATGATGTAAGTATTATTAATGCACTTTATTCTTATTCTTTATTTACATAATCTATTTAAAAATCATCCATTTATTTTCTGGCTCTTTAAAATGCTTTAATTTTGTTGCTCATTTGTTCTAAACAACTACATTTTTTACGATGGGTTTTGCAGTGGCGCTGTAGTCAATTTAAGGCCTTGTGGTACCATAAGTAATCAATAATACTAAGTTACATGTTGTCTAAACTACCATTCTTATTTTTAGAGCCATCGAAACTCAAACCAGGGCTCCGTAGCGAGTCTCACGGACCTTCCAGAACTGGAAATACCACCGAAAACTCCAGAAAAGACCACAGAAGACCAGGACTCCTCCAAAATAACCTGCTCCCCCTTCTCAAGTCCTCTCCAAGACATAACAAATGAATCAATCAATGCGCGGAAATCCTTAGAAAATAAGGATGAGTGTGTAATACTGAGTGATGGAGAGAAAAATGCGTCTAGCAGCCTTAGGAATAAGGTGCTTAATAATTTGATCGTGAATAAGGCGAAGGAGAATTTCATACGGTATGACGATGACGTCACAATTATTGATACAAAGCCGGAGATTATTGCGTTGAGCAGTGATGATGAAGATGAGGTAAGCATAATTTAACTTTTCTAGTATAAAATTCAATCCTTTAAAAAGATTGAGAAAGTGGAATGTGTGAGAGAGACATGCTTCGGCACGAATGGGCCGGCTAGACTGTGATGCGATGGCCTCACAGAAAACCGGTGCAACGCAATATTTCATAGTATTTCGCTGTGTGAGTGAGGTTACCGGGGCCCAATGCTTTCCGTCCCCCAATCCTTAAATCTCCAAGTCCCAATCCCCAAAAGGTCGGCAACGCACTCGTCATTCGTCTGTTGTTGCGGGTGTCCCTCGGTGGCGCTGATTGACTTACTTATTATTGGCTTACCGTCTGTAAGCCACCTGGTCACTTACCGACCTGTCACATAAAAAAGACCCAATGAGACCGGCAACGCATCTTAACTGCTTTGGCGGTACAAGTTTACATGGGTGACGCCGAATGCTTAACCTCGAAGGAGTTCCGTTGCGAGTACACAGACATGTGAAATGTACCTAAGTATCAAATCTTTTTCGTAATGAACTCGGGACTTCTTAGTTGCCGATCACATTAGCGACGCGCGTCTTCTTCTATACTAATATTATAAAGAGGTAAAGGTAAGTTTGTATGTTTGTATGTAGGGGGTAATCTTTGGAACCGCTAGCCTTGCGGCCAGTCGGATTTCCAAAATTCTTTCACTGATAGATAGCTACAATGTTACTGAGAGCTATAGGCAAACATCACGTTACAGTAAACGGAGCCGAGCAGCGGGTGAAACTGCGAGGGAGTAGTAGGTAGTGAATAATAAGGATGAGAGTTGGAAGTCTTGTTAAAATAGGTTTTAACAACAGGAAGTCACAGAACTCATCCATTGGCCGACCTATCCCATAAAAAATACTATATCTGATTAAAAGTCAAAGCTCTCTTTTTTAAGTTTTTTCTAATCTATCTTAATTCATCAAACCCCGAGCGAAGTTCGCGCACTTACTGTTATTCCATTGTTTCTCAAATTACAACGATTGAATGGTTAATCTATAAATTGCTAATTTTATTTTGTCCTTGGATCTGTTTTTATTCTATTACACATTAAAGAGTATACACAGACAATACAGTAAAAACTTCTCATAATATTTCATAAAAAAAAATAATGAGGGTAACCTTAACAATTAATGTACGCTGTCATAATCAAATCGAATTTTAAACACCGCCCGTCATTGCTAGATTTATTTTACAGAACTCAATTTTTATTATGTTATGATTGATTTAAATAAAAAGTTTAATATAATTATTATTAATATTTAATGATTGTATTTGTGCATGTATAGTAAAGTGTGAAAAACTTAAATCAGGCCACGATGCCTCGAAGTTCGAGATCTGTAAGTAAAATTAACAAATTGATTTTTCCACTGGCTTATTGCTCGAGTAATTTTAGCGCGAAGACCTAGCTAGTTGGATTTCCAGGTCGCACATAAGTATTATCAAACACTAAAACAAAAATTAAGACCGTCTGATTAAACGACTGCCGAGTGTAAACTCGAATCAAGCGAAGGTTTTTGATAGTTTCTCAATAATAGTAAAAAGATTTCAAACATACATATTTATAAGTTGTTAATTGAAATTGAATGAGGAGAGTTAGATAGCCATGTTTTAAGACGAATCGACAAGTTATACCGAAGTGAAACAACGCCGACATTGTGTTTCACCATGTAAGGTTTGCCAGAGGCCTAACCCAAACCCTCCCTCCCTGTATTCCCTATCCAGAACTAAACCAAATCCACCAATCCGCAAACCCACCAATCCCCCAATCCCCAAAACTTCACTACCCAGAACTAAACCCTTCCCCGCATCCCCAAACCCCAAATCCACCAATCCCCAAAACTTCCCTATCCAGAACTAAACACTTCCCCGCATCCCCCATCCCCAGGTACCCCTATCCCCAAAATCCCAAATCTCCTATACCCCAAATCCATGCCAACAACATACTCGTAACTCCTCTAGTGTTTCGGGTAGTATCCATAGGCGATGCCGATAGTGATTGTGAGCCATCTATCTATCTATTATTTCAGCGATTAAAAAACGTTGAGTTTCAAAGCAAATATCTTTCCACAGCCAAAAGTAGAAGAGAAGTCGCCTAAAGAACGAAAGTCACCGAGACCCAAACAGGTGGAAATGTCTCAGAATACGAAGACAATTACCAAGTACCTGATGCCTCCAAGCTATCCTAGCCAGCAGGTCGTGTATGTAAAGAAACACATCAGGGAAGCCGAGCTGATGAAGCTCGAGTCATTGAAGGAAGACCTTAAAAATGTTAAGGTAAGATATTGTTATAAGTGACTATCAAAGTTAAAAAAAAATCAAAAAACCCCCGACAAAAAACTAATATCCCTTCGGTTACACTTCCCCACTTACCCCCCGTAACTTCTAAACGGGTCAACCGATTTTCGTCAAACATGCATAAGAACACAAGCACGTAAGCCACCTTTAATAAAAAAAAAAAAAAAATTGAAATCGCTTCATCCGTTCAGGCTCCAGGATGCCACAGACAGACAGACACGTCAAAGTTATAACACCCCTCTTTTCCCGTCGGGGGTTAAAAACATTTCAAATAATCCAAAATATCCATAAAGCACTTTAACAACGTCAATATAGATACCGTCAGAATATCAGTCAGTAATGCTAAGTGCTCTTTCCAATATGTAGATTTGTTTGGAGTCATCCATGGAGCGTACGGCTTCCCGCGCGAATCCCTTTAGTGGTGAAGAAATTATTTAAATGTTTTTTGATTACGACTTTGGCTCTTATGAATTTTTAACAAATTATACATTATAACAAATATGGCTCATAATTATAGCGTATTTTTGTCTATAGAAGCATTTTTTAAGTCAACCAATCACCACACAATAGTAATAGATTTGAACGACGTTAAGTCAAGGGTAGGTCGCCGCCCGACCATAACCAGACCCGAGCGTAGCGTTCCGCGCGCGCCTCAAAGAGCCAATATACCACCACAGACGGGGCCCTATAGGGCTGATGTTCAACCGGGGTTGCGGGGTAAGCGCAAAGAGGCACCGCGGCTTCGGCCCAGAGCAGGGGAGGAACGTGCGGGTTTTTAGTCAGCAAGAGTCTGAAACTTTAATGACATTTCCCTCACAAAAAAAAGATATTAAGACTAGTGGTGGGGCCATACTTTATTTTAAGGATTTGTACCAAGCTTTATTCGGCTATTTGTCTCCAGTACCTCCTCGAAGAGATGGATGTGAACACTCTCCCAGACGGTGGCGGCAAGCTGATAGAGAGGATGACCAGCCTAGAGGAGCAGTTCCGACGCCAGGGAGAGAAGGTCGCCAACATGGTGGTCGAACAAGGTAACCATTGGGAAATTGTAAACTTTTTTTTTTATAAATTGTGAATCTGTATTTTATCACACTTAGGGGTTTTTGGATTATTTTGGTAATGGGCAGGCATTTGACCGCGATCACGCCTGATGGTAAGCAAAGATGCCTACGATGAAGGGTTATATCTTTGTGTAGGGTCCATAAGCGAAAGTTACTCTTTATAAGGATAGTCTAAAACTCTTTATATTATAAGGATGCGGGGTCAACAACTGTCGACAATGTGCCTTTCGGAGTTACGTGTAGTTTTCTTTAAGTTTATTAAGTAAAACGACGGTTCCCTGTTAAGGAGTGCTTGCTCTTTTGCTTTCAAATAAATAGTTTGACATCGCCAATCGGCCTTATGCAGGGAAGCCCCTTGAAGAAGGGGGCTTCTTCTCAGCACGGGAACGGTTACACGCTGATTTCACATTTTAAGTAATTATTATGTGTCTATACCTATATTATAAAGAGGTAAAATTTTTAAGTTTGTATGTAGGGGTATTTGGAACCACTGGTCGAATAACCAATTTTTTTTCACTGATTGATAGCTACAATGTTCCTGAGCGCCTATTGGCCATAAAATATCAGGGGGTGAAACCGCGCGAGAGTAGCTAGTTAAATATACGTTTAATATTATGTTATTTTCACAGATAATCCAAGTGCGGTGGATGTAGACAAGAAAGGCCTCAGCTGGGACGAGCTGCAGAAGGCCAGTAATGCTGTCATGCCGCGCATGTTTGGCAAACAGGGTGAGTACAGCACTGTTATGCGTTATTTTTCACCTGAGTGGTAAGCAATCGGCCCCAGCCACTTAAGTAGCACGGTTGGTGTGGTGGCTGGGCAACTGGCTGCCGTGCAACGTGTCGCGGGTTCGATTTCCGCACGGAATAACACTTTGTGTGACCCACAAATTGTTGTTTTGGGTCTGGGTGTGATGTGCATGTGAAATTATATATTTGTAACCGCACCCACGATACAGGAGAATATCCTTGTGTGGGGCAACGTTTTATTAAAATAAAAACCCATTCATGTGCCCATTTGTCACTCAGCGATGGCGACCCACATGGCGGAGAGGAACCTGATCCTGGACCGCCTGCGCGACCTGTACGAGTCGCTGGCGTCGCGGCCGGCCGAGTCCCAGCTGGCGGCGCCGCCCCGCGCGCTGCGCTCCACGCTCATGCCGCACCAGCTGCACGCGCTCGCCTGGCTGCGATGGAGGGAGACGCAGAGGCCCAGGGCTGGGATACTCGGTAACCTACCTCACACAATACTTCTACAGCCTTACCGTTATAAAATTTACAACAAATATGCAAACAGCGTTTGTTCTTCATCATCATCAGCCTATAAGAGCCCACTGCTGAGCAAAGGCTTCTTCTCATACAGAGAAGGTTTGAGTATCGACCATCAAGCTTGCTCATGGCGGGTTCCAACCTACAAAGATATTAAATGAGTTTTAGTATAGTAATATTATTTTTGATAATTATTTTCTCTTGCAGCGGATGACATGGGTCTCGGTAAAACAATCACGATGATAGCTCTGATAGCGAGCGACAAGGAGGATAAAATTGACGAGGATGACGACGATGATGATGACGGTCTACCTGCTAAGGGCAAGAGTAAGTAGACGTTACACTTTTTTTTGAGACAGATCAGCAAATTATTGGACGGATTACCTGATGGTAAGCAATCGGCGCCGCCCATGGACACCCGCAACTCCAAGAGTTATGAGCACGTTGGTTCATTACACTGATGATATTATTAAAATTGCTCCAACTTAACGCATCATTAGCGCCATCTATCGTCTTTGAAAACTATAAGAAGTGTAATATGGTTTCAATTTAACACGTAAAAGTGCTGTTTTAATGTTGTTTCAATAACCTATGTACTTATTCGATTTTTTTTAATTCATTTTTTATTTCGATTCCCGCACGGAACAACTCTGTGTGATTCACAAATTGTTGTTCCGGGTCTGGGTGTCATGTGTATATGAAATTGTATGTTTGTAACCGCACCCAAGACATAGGAGAATAACTTAGGGTGGGACAACGTTTGAAAATATGAAATAATGAGTATTATTACGTTAGTGCCCCGCGGAGGCACGCTGGTGGTATGCCCCGCGTCGCTGATGCAGCAGTGGGCGGGGGAGGTCAGCAAGCACTGCGCCGCGCACGCGCTGTCCGTCTGTCTGCATCATGGCGCCGCGCGGACCCAGGCCGCCGCCAGGCTCGCTGGACACGACCTCGTACTCACTACCTACAACATCATGCAGCGGGACAATGAAAAGGTATGCATGTATAACGTATATATAAAGTAGTCTATGTCCTATTCTGGAGTGTATCTTATGCCTGTGCCAAATTTCATCCAGATCCGTCCAGCCGTTTTGGCGTGTTTGAGTAACAAACATCCAAACATCGTAACTCTAGCATTTATAATATTAGTGAGATAGTCTCTTGATAGTCTTAATACACTTTACTTGATTTAAATAAAAGTTACTAGTTATTAATAGTCAGGATAAATATTTGTATTGTTAAATAATAAAATATCGTAAAATGAACTGTATTATTGAGTGTGAATACTAACGCCAATTATGAGTACCCACGGCGGTTTTAATTGCTCAATACAATTTACATTTGAATTGAATAATTAGGTAAATGAATTACGATGCATAAAAATGCTGACTTTAAATTACTGATTTTAAATATAGTGTAAGTACTTATACATTATGTTATGTAGGATTGCACCGACATATAACGTATATCTAATACCTTGCCATTATAGGTAATATTCACTATTTCGTGTATTGTTTTTTTCAATTTTAATTTTAATAAATATTACTTTTCTTTTATTATAACTTTCGTGAGACATTCTAAATTAATTATTATGTTTTCGGTTTACTCACGTAATAATACTTAATATAATAATAAATTTTAGAGTTAATTGTAATTGTTTATATGTATGGCAACATTGTCAAATTAGGTGGTGCAATGAATAAAACTGTTCTTCCTGTCATATGTAGGTTAAATTTGAAACGGTTTGGAGTTTGTAGCCATAAAATATTTAGAAAATAATTTGAATAATATGTAGGTATTGAAAAACAATACAAGGTGTAAATAAATAGTTTTAAAATAGAAGGCTAAAAACTGTGATCCAAGGGCCGTAGTTTTTTTAAGTTATTCAATTGTCGATTGACAGAAAGGAGTATTAATGCGGGTGTACTGGCGCCGCGTTATCCTGGACGAGGCGCACGTGGTCCGCAACCACAAGTCTGCGACCTGCGGCGCGGCCGGCGCCCTGCGCGCGCCCCGCCGCTGGTGCCTCACGGGGACGCCCGTGCAGAACAAGGACCTCGACCTCTTCGCGCTGCTCAAGTTCCTGCGCTGCTCGCCCTTCGATGACCTCACCGTGAGTCACTACACCACATCCTATACACCTACTTTAAAAATAAACAATGCCACCACGCCCCAAAAAAAATTTTTTAATCGCACCAGTGCTTCAATAGAATAACGTGTATTAAATAAAGTCAATGTAATCAATAAACTACTTTAAATGAAATCCTCCAAAATCGACACTTCTTATAATCAATGAAGGTTTTCTGCACTCAATCTATTTCCAGTGGAAATGTATTTTAAAAAAGTCTCTTATTTTTTTAACCTCTGGAAAAGAGTAACCATGTGGTTTCTTACTCGTTCTTCTCCATCGGAATCTATACTTTGGAACGAGCGAATAGTTTCACTAGAAGACCGAATCACACATGAAAATGAACGTATAAAATTATTTTAACTAAAAATCGCGGGTTACTCACCTGTAAATATTGAGAAAAGCTCTACTAGTTTCGAACCACAGAGGGGTTCTTCCTCATGAGCAGCGGACGCGGCGACGTCGCGTCCGCGCACGCTACAGCTAGTAGGGTTTTTTTTTTAGTATTTACACGTGAGTAACCCGCGGTTTTTAGTTAATTTAGTATGTCTCAAGATAGTTGTCGAAATATTTTTTTGTTTTCTTAAAAAAGTGCTTATACTTGTGTATTGGAAATAAATGATTAGGATTTGACTTTGAAAACGTAGATGTGGAAGAAATGGATAGACAACAAGAGCCTGGGCGGTCAGGAGCGGCTGAGTACAATAATGCAGTGTCTGCTCCTGCGGCGGACCAAGCAACAGCTGGTGCAGCGCGGCCAGCTCGCCTGTCTGCCGCGCCGCGCCGCCCATACTCGCACCGTCACGCTCACGCAACATGAGATGAATGTATACCAGAAGGTAAACATTGCTATACTATTGGCTAGTACCAAGCAACAGCTGGTGCAGCGCGGCCAGCTCGCCTGTCTGCCGCGCCGCGCCGCCCATACTCGCACCGTCACGCTCACGCAACATGAGATGAATGTATACCAGAAGGTAAACATTGCTATACTATTGGCTAGTACCAAGCAACAGCTGGTGCAGCGCGGCCAGCTCGCCTGTCTGCCGCGCCGCGCCGCCCATACTCGCACCGTCACGCTCACGCAACATGAGATGAATGTATACCAGAAGGTAAACATTGCTATACTATTGGCTAGTACCAAGCAACAGCTGGTGCAGCGCGGCCAGCTCGCCTGTCTGCCGCGCCGCGCCGCCCATACTCGCACCGTCACGCTCACGCAACATGAGATGAATGTATACCAGAAGGTAAACATTGCTATACTATTGGCTAGTACCAAGCAACAGCTGGTGCAGCGCGGCCAGCTCGCCTGTCTGCCGCGCCGCGCCGCCCATACTCGCACCGTCACGCTCACGCAACATGAGATGAATGTATACCAGAAGGTAAACATTGCTATACTATTGGCTAGTACCAAGCAACAGCTGGTGCAGCGCGGCCAGCTCGCCTGTCTGCCGCGCCGCGCCGCCCATACTCGCACCGTCACGCTCACGCAACATGAGATGAATGTATACCAGAAGGTAAACATTGCTATACTATTGGCTAGTACCAAGCAACAGCTGGTGCAGCGCGGCCAGCTCGCCTGTCTGCCGCGCCGCGCCGCCCATACTCGCACCGTCACGCTCACGCAACATGAGATGAATGTATACCAGAAGGTAAACATTGCTATACTATTGGCTAGTACCAAGCAACAGCTGGTGCAGCGCGGCCAGCTCGCCTGTCTGCCGCGCCGCGCCGCCCATACTCGCACCGTCACGCTCACGCAACATGAGATGAATGTATACCAGAAGGTAAACATTGCTATACTATTGGCTAGTACCAAGCAACAGCTGGTGCAGCGCGGCCAGCTCGCCTGTCTGCCGCGCCGCGCCGCCCATACTCGCACCGTCACGCTCACGCAACATGAGATGAATGTATACCAGAAGGTAAACATTGCTATACTATTGGCTAGTACCAAGCAACAGCTGGTGCAGCGCGGCCAGCTCGCCTGTCTGCCGCGCCGCGCCGCCCATACTCGCACCGTCACGCTCACGCAACATGAGATGAATGTATACCAGAAGGTAAACATTGCTATACTATTGGCTAGTACCAAGCAACAGCTGGTGCAGCGCGGCCAGCTCGCCTGTCTGCCGCGCCGCGCCGCCCATACTCGCACCGTCACGCTCACGCAACATGAGATGAATGTATACCAGAAGGTAAACATTGCTATACTATTGGCTAGTACCAAGCAACAGCTGGTGCAGCGCGGCCAGCTCGCCTGTCTGCCGCGCCGCGCCGCCCATACTCGCACCGTCACGCTCACGCAACATGAGATGAATGTATACCAGAAGGTAAACATTGCTATACTATTGGCTAGTACCAAGCAACAGCTGGTGCAGCGCGGCCAGCTCGCCTGTCTGCCGCGCCGCGCCGCCCATACTCGCACCGTCACGCTCACGCAACATGAGATGAATGTATACCAGAAGGTAAACATTGCTATACTATTGGCTAGTACCAAGCAACAGCTGGTGCAGCGCGGCCAGCTCGCCTGTCTGCCGCGCCGCGCCGCCCATACTCGCACCGTCACGCTCACGCAACATGAGATGAATGTATACCAGAAGGTAAACATTGCTATACTATTGGCTAGTACCAAGCAACAGCTGGTGCAGCGCGGCCAGCTCGCCTGTCTGCCGCGCCGCGCCGCCCATACTCGCACCGTCACGCTCACGCAACATGAGATGAATGTATACCAGAAGGTAAACATTGCTATACTATTGGCTAGTACCAAGCAACAGCTGGTGCAGCGCGGCCAGCTCGCCTGTCTGCCGCGCCGCGCCGCCCATACTCGCACCGTCACGCTCACGCAACATGAGATGAATGTCTACCAGAAGGTAAACATTGCTATACTATTGGCTAGTTTCCTACGTCAAAAATAAAATAATTCAACATTCCATCATCATCATCATCATCAGCCTCTAAGTGCCCACTGCTGAGTAAAGGCCTCTTCTCATACGGAGAAGGTTAAGAGCATTAATCACCACGCTTGCTCAATGCGGGTTGGCGATTTCAAACTTATAATTATAAATTATAAAAGTCCAGGTATCCTCACGATGTTTACCTTCACCGTGTATCAGTGGTGTCTAAATAATCATAGAAAGTATGTCCATATAACTTGGAAAAAGTCATGTTCGTACTTGCCAGAGCTCGAACCCACACCCTCATGCATGAGAAGCGGGCTCCTTAACCTACGGGCCACACTACACACCATTAAACGTTTCAATAAAATAAAATACTCACTGAAAAATAACTATACTTTTATTCATCGATCGATACACTAAATTTAAATTTTTTAAGCTATTTTTCAAGAAATAAGTAAACTATTTGATCAGTGTTTCAACTTTTACAAATTTCATAGAAAAGTATCGTTTTTGACACTTGGAAAAAAGTATTGCATTTGACTTGTTGGAAACTATAAATGTAATAGAACCGAATTGTCCCTGCCTATATTAATGGGAGACAGGAGTGAACTGTAAAATAGGTCTTAGGTTAATGTTTACGAGGATCTTAGATTAATTTCGAGCTCAGGCGGAGTTCTTAATAGCGTATCGAGTTATGCCGTTATCTTAAAGTTAAACTTTTCATTTTATTAATTCTCTTAAAATAGTGTGCATCACATTGAAATTGAAGAAGCTAATAAAAAGTTGTTCTTAATAAAGATTGGATTTTCTGAGGTATAAAGCTTTACGAAATTTCCTGTCCTAGTAATGATTTTAAAATTGTTCAACTATTAATTCTACATTTAATTCATTCATATTTTGAATAAAAATAATACATTATTTATGTTACAATCAATACAATAGATATGATAAAAAAGCAAGAAATTTTTTTGTAACAACATTAACAATTTCCTGTCGCAGCACTTCGTACATTCCAATGTTTATTATTCAGGTGCTAGTGTTCTCCAAGACGCTATTCGCCCAGTTCCTGCACCAGCGCGCTGAGAAGAACTCGGACACGCAAGGGTTTACTTCGGCCGGGAACAGCGCGTACGATAAGATGCATAAGAAAATGATCGCCCTGCAAGGTTCGTCACTACACTTCTTTCTTTCTTCTTTCTTCTTTCTTTCTTCTATAAGTATAATATGGCGGAGGGGGAAGCGGCGGGGGGGAGGGGGTTGGGGAATTTGGCCATTCGTACGGCTAAACAACGAAGTGGTTGTTTCACGCCGGTTTTCTGTGAGGCTTGTGATATCACTCCGGTCGAGTCAACCGGAGAATGGTTCTAGTAAAGTTTGAATAATTAATTACCGTTCTTGACACAAATTATGATGTTCAGAAGGTGCAATCTTATTAAAAACATCATTAAGACATTTTAATAAAAGCATTGTATTTGACTGCTTGAAGTGTTTTTCTTGTACTCCAGGAGCGAAACCAGTAAAGTCCCACGAGATCTTGGTCCTCTTACTCCGACTGCGACAAGTATGTTGCCACTGCGGCCTCATCGCCGCCATGTTGGACGAGGAGAGCGCCGCCGACGTACAAGATGACCCCGCCGGCCAGGACTTACTCGCCGAGCTGAACAAACTGTCCATTGAAGATTCCAGCTCTAGACGGAAGGTAAAAGTCAAGTCATAATATATTCAAAGTAACAACATAATAACCATAAACAGGTAGTTTTAAAACGTCAACATCCTAGTAATCCTACTATCCTACTAATCCTACTATTCTACGAATCCTACTATCCCTACTATTCTACGAATCCTACTAATCTACTAATCCTACTAACCTACTAATCCTACTATCCTACGAATCTTACTATCCTATCCTAGTACCCACTGCGATTATGTTCGTTAACACTCACAGGACGGGAGACGTCATTTGACGATTTTCCCTCCTAAAATTAATGGTATTCTTGCGATATTTTCCTTCACCGTACGTCAATGGTGTCTAAATAAACTTAGATTGATCTTCTATTGTGTCTCCAATTGCCACGATTGAAAGTTTAAATAATGAATGATAGCATGATAATATTTTATTTCAGAGCAAAAAGTCTGATGATGAAGAAGAAGGCCCCCAGCAAGAAGGCACCACGGCGGCGGAAGCAATCCGCTCGGTCCTGTCTCCCAACAACCCCGTGTTTGAGCTCAGCAACCCTTCCTCCAAGATCAAGGCTGTCATGGACTGTCTGAACAACGAGGTTTTCGTTCATAAAGGTTAGTATTATATTGTTTATTTTTTTTACATGCAAAATTTTAATTAAAAGATAATCTTTTCTTGTACAAAACTGCTATAAGTCAAAGCTCATTAGAGCCACCCAGATTGTTATTTCATCAGTAAAGTGTGGGAGAGTCATGCTTCAGCACGAATGAGCAGCTCGAACCGAGTGATATCACGGCCTAAAGAAGAACCGGCGTGACACGACCACAACGTTGTGTTTCGCCGTGTAAGTGAGGTTACTGGAGTCCCCATCCCTCCCCTCAGCCCATCCCTTCCCAATCCTTTAATATCCGAATCTCTTCAATCCATAAAAGGTCGGTAACGCACTCGTAACTCCTTTGCTGTTACGGGTGGGTGTCCATGGGTGGCACCGGTTGCTTATCATCATGCGATTCGTTTGCTCATAAAAAAATGGTATATTTGTAATAGTGAGACTAAAACAAGGGTTCGGGTTCGAAATCTGGCAAGTACCAATGTGACTTTTTCCGACTTATATGAACTTTCTATGATCATTTAGCTGACAAATGGTGAAGGAAACTATCGTGAAGAAACCTGGACTTACAATTTCTAATTATAAGTTTGAAACCGCCAACTCGCCTTGAGCAAGCTTGGTGATTAATGCCCAAACCTTCCCCGTGTGAGGAGAGGTCTTTGCTGAGCTGTGGATACTTATATATATTATTTGCGGCATTAGCCGCTGCCCGTTTTAGTCGCGATGAGTTCTAAACCGCTCATCGCCAACGAAGTTTTGGCATTCATTAATCATGCCATCGATTATATGGATGAGGTCAGCATCGTGCAGATCTGCAGATCAGCCTACAAAGAGGATGAGGTTTGCAGTGCAAAGCTGCTACTCTTCAAGTCGCTCGGACAACTCGAGCAGATGCCATCCCGCCGAAGGGACGGTGGGGACAAGAGCCTGCAGGATATCATCTCCCTGCTGAAGAGGACAGATCCTGATGACGTGCCTGAGTTCCTGGCGAAAGACTTGCATAAGCTGCCTCCCGTCACGTTCGATCACGTCGATGTCACCAGGCTGTTGAAAGACATAACGTGTCTTAAGGCGAGCCTGGAAGATATGAAGTCCAAGATGGAAGCTTCACAGGTGACCATCAGTGACCTGCGTGGTGAAGTAGCGTTGTTGCGCAACGCTGTTTCTATAAGTGGGTCATTTGATGTAATTAATGTGAATACTCGTCGCGGGGCGCAAAACGCGTCTGTCATCAGTTTCGATCGCCGATGTAGCTGACGATGCACCCCGCTCCGCCGCCGCCGCCGCTGCTGTGTCAACACCTGCGACCGAACCTTGCGTAGGAACATCGACCCCCAAACGCGCCTACGCAGCAGTTGCAGCCACCAACAAGCCCGCTGTGACGCAAACAAAGCGGACCAAAGCAAAAGGGGGTAAACAAACCCGTGGCACATCACAGCCACAGACTAGTCCTAAGAAGGACACGTGCGACAAGGATGGCTTCAAAAAGGTAGAAAGGAGAAAAAAGAGGCCAACTTGTAGGAATAAGTGCGGAACTGCACAAACTGGACCAAACATCCTGCTGCGTCCAGTACCAACGACGCAGTTGTACGTGTCCCGTCTACATCACACCACGACGGTGGAGCAGATCGTGGAGTATGTCCGATCCAAGACCAACTGGACCTTGAAGGTGGCGAAGTTGGAGTCGCGCCACAATACGAACTTTAATTCGTTCATGGTGCGAGTTCCAACTCATCACTTGGAGACATTCCTCAAGGAAGAGTTTTGGCCGAAGGGTGTCGTATATCGGAGGTTCCGAGGATGGCTACGCGACACCACGCAGCGTAACACGACGCCGACACTACGTGTGCATTAGTTTTTAAGTTATCTATGTAACATATGTATTAGTTTATGATTTAATGTTATAATATATTTATGTATTGTATTCTCTATGGGCCGCAGATGCCTGACTTAAATAAATAAATAAATTAAAAAAAAAAAAAAAAAAAAAAAATAAGCTGTTGATGTGATTTGTGTGTTATTACACGAGTGTACAAAAATTATTACCGATTGGATCAAAACGCTAAATTACATGGACTCTGAGGCACTATTTTACAAAATATAAAATAAAACATCAACAATATAATTTCTTACAGATACACCTACATATTAATACACAAACACGCACACACACACACTCACCCCACATACATCCACACCATAATTCTGACGAACAAACCCATACAATCACACACACGCAAGCACATAAGCATGCTTTAAAACTAGTTTAAGTGTTCAATAATAATTGTACAATAAATTGTTATGGAAGAGCGGAGTGTCCTAACACAGGCAATATATGCTTAAAGGAGGCTTCAATCACCCACTAATGTAAACTTTTTGGTACAGAAATAAAGATTTTGTATTTGTGTGTAGATCACAAGGCAGTAGTAGTATCGCAGTGGACGTCAGTGCTCCGGTTGGTGGAGGCCCAGCTGAGGAAGGCGGGCGTCCGCAGCGTCACGCTCAGCGGCGCCGTGCCTGTACCTGCGCGCGCCCCGCTACTCACTGCCATCAACGACCCCCATTCCGATGTAAAGGTAATCTAACATCACGTGTAATTTTCTAGTTTCCTAGGTCAAAAGTAAATTAATTCAACGTTTCAATACAATAAAATATAAAAAAAATAACTACAATTTTATTCATCGATCGATCGATACACTGAATTTTAGATATTTTTTATCACCACTGGTTCAAATTGAACAATTATTTTTGTGGTTTTTAGTCCATTTATCGAGGAAGGCCATCCAAATCCTAATCCTAACTAATATTACAAATGCGAAAGTTACTCTATCTGTCTGTCTTTTCTTCACGCCTAAACTACTGAACCGATATTTGGTACATAGTTTGAAACCTAGCCTACTTTACCTAACCTACACTACCTACTCTATCCTATGTCCTTCTCCTGGCTCTTAAACTACCTTCCTGCTAATTTTCAGCTAAATCGGTTCAGCCGTTCTTGAGTTATAAGTGGAGTAACTAACACGACTTTCTTTTATTATATAGATGTTCCTTATGAATCGTTTATTATAAATATATAATGAATTGTTGCAGGTGATGCTACTGTCGCTATGCGCCGGTGGCGTGGGTCTGAACCTCTGCGGGGCGAACCACTTACTGTTGCTGGACCCGCACTGGAACCCACAGCTTGAGGAGCAGGCGCAGGACCGGATTTACAGGGTCGGACAGACCAAGGACGTCAATATTTATAGGTAACATTTTTTTATGTTATAGGACGGCAAAACGAGCAAATGGATTACCTGATGGTAAGCAATTAGCACCGCCCATTGACACCCGAAACAACGGAAGAGTTACGAGTACGTTGCTGACCTTTTGTTGATTAGGGTTCCGGAAATGAGGGATGAGGGAAGGGGGAGGGGAAGGATTGGACTCTCACACGGCGAAACTCAAGGCTGTGTTTGTTTCACTTTGTTTTTCTGTAAGGCCGCGGTACCACTCTGGTTGAGCCGACCCATTCGTGCAAAAGCATGTCTCTCCCATACATGTAGTGTAGTAAAAAGTTCGTAATAAAAAGTTTTATATGTATTTTTTGTTTATGTAGTTCGGAATATTTAGGTAACAAAAGACGAACAAATTAACGCCATATTAGTATACTATATATATAGGTGCGGCACGTCATACGTCCATCATACATTAATCATCATACATCATATAAATATACGAGATATTTATATTTTTGCGAGCAATGACGTGGCCCGCTGATGCTTTATAAAGCAAACCCTCGAGTTTAGTGTTTGTTGTACACTGCAAAGTCATATTTCCGCATATGACTGAGATTTTCGCCTTATAATATATATTTCTCATCAATTATGTCAATTAGCAACTCTCTCGCTATTATAAATAAACAATTAAAAAATCTTTGAATAAAAAGCTTAAAATGTATTCCCTAAATAACTCATTGAAACACGAGCAATTAACAAGAACCTCGGGTTTCCACTTTCGTTTTGAAAGTCATTATAGTTGCAGACACGACGCATTCGTTTGCCAAATTCTCTCATTACGAACTTGCGCCAGATATTTGCATCGGCCAGTATTACGTGACGTCAGCGAATCGTTGTTACAAATTATTTAATAACTATTTAGCATTTTGTTGCTTTGAGTAAATTCTTCCAATTATTTTCTATTATTTCTTACAAGTATATAGGTGAACTTCATTTTTTTAAAACCTTGCCTTACATTAGGATTTTCTCCTGTGTCATAGGTGCGTTTACCAAAATACAATTCTACATATACATCACATCTAAAGTCAAAAAGTAAAAAATCATTTATTCCAATTAGACCCTTACAGGCACTTTTGAACGTCAAACAAAATTTTGAAGATATAGTGTCAGTCTGTCGTTCAGTCCTCTTAGTGAACTTTATAACCGAAACAACAATTTTGAATCACACTAAGAGTTGTTCTCGTGCAGGAATCGAAACCTTGATACGTTGCACGGCACCCGATTGTCCAGCCACCGCGCTAGCCATTTAGTTCAACTTAACATTGTTGCACGTTATTTTAGTAATGTGTATTCTTGAGAAACTTGGGCCAGCGGCTTCGCTCGCTTTACTGGGAGTAAATTACCCCATGTGTTATTCTAGACTATAACCTGTCTCTGTATCAAATTTTATTTAAATCCATTCAGAAGTTCTTTCGTGAAAGAGTAAGAATAATCAATCAATACGACTTTTCTCGTTTAGAATATTAGTATTGTTGAGATGTTTGTTGATACCAAATTTTCACCAATTATTTAAAAATATAAGACAAGGATTTGTATTTTATTGTTGGTATGTTGTAAAAGAAGATAGTTTTACTTTTTTTCGCTATGGTCAAGGCTATGAGGGTTCGAGTCAACTCGCAAAGGCCCCATAAACAATAGTAATTTAAATGTGATGGTACACTAGCCCGCAGTTAACCTAGAATGCACTATGGAAGTGCACCCAGGGACGATCACTAGCTAATGTGTTATGAAATGGGTATGAGTGGCTATAGACATGATAACTAAGGAAATAATAGTACCTTTTACTTTATTGTTGTGGATACAGATAATATTTTCAGGCATATGTTAACCAGATATATTATCGATTTCATAGTTTTATTTATAGATTAACGAATGTTTAGATAAACCAAACCTATTTTTTACACATTCAGGTCACACCACTGTACCAAATTTCAGTGAACTTAAATAAATACGCGTCGATCTATCATTCTGTTTTTCACCAAATATCAATAATTCATTAAAAAAAATGTTTGTCCTAGATTCATGTGCGTTGATACGGTGGAGCAATCAATCAGAAAGCTGCAGCAGGCCAAACTGGAGTTGGCAGAGAACGTGCTAACAGGCGCCAAGAATACCAACAACTCCAAACTCACCATTGAAGACCTCAAAATGCTTTTCAACATGGGCCAGTAAGCAGTATGAACGATTTTTTACATAAACAATTCTGCGCATTACTGCCAGTCGAAATTTTAATCTATATCAATCCAATGTCTGCTATTAAGGTCGATGTTTGTCATCACTTCCATCAAAAATTTAGATGTTACCAATGATTTTGGGTCCATAAAACAATTTATTTTTGTAAATAGATCTCGTTTTGTTGAGGATATAATAACTATGAAGATGCTGTCTAAGATGTCTGCTGTCTTTTATAATACATGATAAACATCAAAATTTTGCGCTTAACTTCGCGCAAAAGTTTTGCGCAAACTTTGCAACCTTTGCGCAAGTTGGGTGATAAGGCCTCTATTATAAGTTTTACATGTGCCATTTTAAATAGGATATAAATAGATAGATGAGCTTTTAATTTCGAAGTGAATAAGTGTTTAGTTGTGGAAACAATACTAAGAAATATCTTCATGATGATTGTGTGTCGTAAAATGTAAAGAATCTTGGCAGTATTGTTCCACGAAAATGTTCTTACAAGAAATTATTTGAAAAACAATTAGAATACAAACACTTTTAGCATTAAGATTCCTTAAAAACATAGTTTGTACTTTTACAAGTTTTACTGGGACATTGGCTGGACCTAGTTTTTAATTGAAATTCAGACATTAAACTATAATGATGACAATATTCCAACGTTAATTTTAATGATTATATTAAATATGATATTGTAAAATATAGTTTTATAGAATTATTGAAACTGGTAATATTTTATAATGATCGTTTTGCAATAAATGATAATGTAATTATGTATCTAAGTGTTTTATTGCATTTAAAAAGCCTCCGGCAGCACTGGGACGCAAATGCGCCGACTTTTAACCACGTAGTTTTGTGAAACAAGAAAGCCATATACAACTCCGCTCTGGTTTTGTTCTGCGCCCTGATTTTAATACATGAAATGTTTAGTAGTTCACTGCGGCCGGCTCTTTTTTAGGAGGGAAAGTCATAAAATGACTTCTCTCGCCGAGAATGGCGGTGTCTGACTCATACCTCTACTCCTGCTCTAGGCCAAAGCCGCGGTACCTTATAACGGCTGTTACGGCAGGAATCCTAAAATCACTATTTATCCTTGAGGGTGAAAACTAGATCTTAGAGTTAAGCTGGTTTGTATATATACTGTTTTATCAAGCTTGTAAAATATAAAGGTTTTACGTATTATGATGTACGCCGTAGCCTGTGAAGACTTGTCACAGCTTCAAACCTAAAGCGAAATTACGCAGAATATCAACATTAAGAAGTGCCAATAATTATTTGTTCCTAACTCCGACCATTAGACCAACAAATCTGTCGATTTAATGTTTTCTTTATCTAATTTCGATCTCACCTGCGGCTGTTTAGTATAACGGAATCTCCCACTCGAGTGACCCTGCTCTATTTCCTCCAATGTTTATGTAGTTTTATTTGTTATTAAGTTTAGATAGACTAAACGCATTCCACTGACGTCATTAATAATACTGGTGTTTTTATTAAAACATACTTATCCGTATTTTGTATCAAATCAAAATATAGACTTCAAACATTTTTAAGCTATTTTAGACTTGATAATAATCAAATTTCTTTTATTACTAGAATTTCATACCGTCGTTGATTCACAGACGTGACGCATTCATAGTTCGAGTCGCTAATTGTGCGAGTAAATCTCATGCCTCCCACTGGAAAGGAACAATTACTTCCCGCCATAATGTCTAACTTCATACATCACGGTGGGCGGGAAATGGCAGAAACAACATGTTATTATTTTAGTCAGTTCGCTTTTGCAGACAGAAGTGCACACGTAGAACAAAATAAAATATTTCAGGAAGAAAATCTTACGCTTATGACATCCGGGAAAAGTTGTGTCTACTACTTACATTCAATTCATTAGCCGCCAACAAACGCGCAGCAGGTGTAAAGACAAATACTTATAACAACAAAAATAAACCCGACGTCACATTACTGAAAAGGAAACCGACAACCATTGAGGAATTCTTCAAAAAATGTCATGACGGACAGATCATTCACCGGCACAGACACAACATGCAGAGATAGCTAAAAATAAAATAGGTATCACGGCCGTCCACAGCGGCCACGAATTATTACCATTTCACGCGGGAAACGACTCGAGTGCCGTGAATATTTTGTTAATAAAAGTTGTAATTTTTAAATTATGAGTATAGAACGCAGGTCGTGCGTGAACCAGGCGCCGCACGTCACCAAGCGCCTGCTTGCAATCATAGTGCTGTTGACTGGCCTGCTGTGTATGTTCGGAGGTAAGATCGCAATTTTAATTTGCTAACAAACTTGTCACACACACTCATAAATTATAATAATGGCAATGGGAATAACACGCGTGCTGGGTGAATGTATTTTATACGTGAACGATTAAATAATGTGATACAATTTACTACGAACGACTGTTTTGGAAGAGTGTTGACGATATTTTGTTAAATTTTATGAATTAGTTACAAGCTCGCGTTAGCTAACAGCACCTGTTATTATAGTCGCGTGTTTTTGTCAGAATGTGCCACTAGAATCGTGTAGGTAGTAACATCACTGGAAGTTGTCGTGGCTATTTGTTAAGTTATATTATAACCACGTTGATTAATATTCCCAATGGAATCGATTTTGAATAACGGTATCTAGAAAGGGAATAAATGCGACTTATGAGTAGCACACCTAACTCCTAGCAACACAGATAACTCACCGCAAATATATTTATGTAGGTTGATACTTAACCACTTTTAGGTACTAGGTAGCTATATTTCTTACTTCGTAGGTAATTTCTTTTTCTTTTTTTCAGGCTATCTACTGGGTCGGGTGGCTCGTGTCGAGCCGAGGAAGAACAACGAAATGTTGACCCACAACCTGACAATACTAGCAGACAGTATTTATAAGAAAGCTAAAAGGATTCCACCGAAACTCCTTCATCAAAACGATCCAGATAAAATACAAATTAAATTATTTGACATTTTCAACTGTACGCACCTCTGCGGCACTTTGAACAAATATAATCTGGCTGAGTTCGTTAGGAATTCTATTAACTTTCAAGTGACGAAATTAATGAAGTCTGTGAACAACGCATCTGTCTATTTGGATAGCCTTAGCTGACATTTGAAAGTATCAGCTTTACAATAATTATTCGTATATTTTTAATTTTTATGGACGATATGAAGTGATTTACACTTATTAAATAAATATTTTAACATTAACTGAAACTTTTCTATTTTATAAATTAAAGTTTGCTATTTTTATATATTCTGTTGTCATCATAATATCGAGTGGAAAATGAAATAATAATAAGGTCGATTTTATTAGCGGCCTTTCTCTACCGATTTGAATAAAGAACGTAGGTACCTAAGTAACTTTTGAAAGAGTGATTTGTACTTACTTTTTTTTAGCTGTCTTGTAGATATGTACCTACCTTCTTAAATTGTTTCTGTAAAATATTTTTTACAAGTAGGCAATTAATTTGTTGTGTAAAATAAAGCAATGCAGGGAAAGTGTACCTACTATAGAAGTTATGTAAAGATATCGTAATAAAAATGTTCCTTTTCTTATTTGCACGTTACATAAACACAGATGATATTCAAAAAGTTTAGAAACACTTCGCTTCTTTATCGAAACTCCAAAATAGTTTTGGAGGTGAGGGTTGGCGGGACTCACCCAACCTAATTGTACAAACTAACTAAAAAACTAATAAATTTTAATGAATTTATAATATGTTTTTTTTTGTACAATTGTAGTTAAACATGTAGCAATCTGGTCACCTTCAACTGAAGTAAATAATGTACCTACCGAAGTATACCTACTTATTTGAAAAAGGCTCACTGTAGGCACCTCCATTTTTTAAGAGATAGTTCGATACTCGAGCTGACCAGTAGCACCTGCAGTGCTATTCTGTAAATGGTAAATCTCATCTCGAAAGTCACACACCATTCCGCTTCTCACCTCGCCTGTACACAAACGTCAAAATACTCATTTGTTTTTGTTCCTTTCACTTCGTTATTCACATGGTGGCGTCAATGTAGATGTTACTCCATTTGAGAATACGAAACTTTTATTTTCGCAAATTAACTTTTGAGAATAAACGCCCATAGACCGCAACATCAAAGGAGTAACGAGTGCGTTGGCGGCATTTTGGGGATAAGGGTTGTGATCCATTTTTTTCAGTTTCTGTTTACAACAGGCAGGGATGTTATGGAGCTTCGTAACCGTTATCGAAACTATCGTATCTGAAATAAAAATATCAGTTTCACAAGTTTCAGATAGTTTCGGATAACCGCAGAATCCATTTATTCCGACAGATTTTTCGCGCGCTATGTTAGTATTACAATTTGTTTGTCATTTCTCGTTCTATAATAACCGTTTTCGTATAGTGTGTCTGTTACTTGAAATAGTCGAAACTATACGAATGTAATGAATAATCCAAAATTTATTGAATAGGTATCTGTAACCGTACGTAACCGATATTATTTTATTCTCATATCTAGGTATATCCAGATCCAAATAACATCAACACATCCCAGATGCAGGGTTGAAAGTAAGTTTAAGAAAGACTAAAATTTATCTGATAGGACTAGGAATTTATGGTGAGCAATCAACGCAGCCTCATGGATACCTGCAACAACATAGGGGTAGAAACCGACGACGGACTTTCACGACCTAACTTACGAGTGCGTTGCCGATTTTTTCGGTATTAGGGAATTGCGGAAGGATTGAGCCTCCGGTAACCTCACCCACCGGCAAGGCGAAACATAACGCTGTACTAGAAGTTGATTAAATAGCAATCAGGTGATACGTCGGTACTTCTGCTGCCCTGACTCATAAAACAAAAAAAAACAAAATACAATAACTGAAATCTGACAGGCATTCGGTATTACACATTTTCAGAAATAAGAACATCGGCAGATCATACTTTACTCTTGAAATAAAATAAAAGTTAAATAAGTAAATCCTACCTACCCACCCCTTAAGAAACAATGAGCGCATCGAAGATGCGTATCTAGTGATAAAATATTTATGGATACCTCAGAATACAGAACAATACCTATTTTAAATAACATGGTGTTATTTTAAGTTAAGTTTGAAATCGCCAATCCGCTTTGAGCAAGCGTGGTGATTAATGACTTTTATTATTTCGTAATGGGCAGACATTAGGCCGCTATTACTTACGGTCGTAAGTGATAATGCGACCTACGATAGAGCACGCCTACCCATAAGCAACCTATTCACTCGGGGCTTGAAGACAAGGTAACATACCCTTCAAGGACACCACTACAGACTACAGACTTCGGCAAAGAATTCCACTCCTTAGCATATTGTATAGTTTCATAAACTATGGCGAACCACTTCGTGCGTGTAGGTGGGATATCAACCATAAATTAAGCGATGAGGTTTTGCAGATTGTCCTATGGTACGATGCTGGAAATGACTAGGGAATCACAGAGATCGGGATCTGTCCGTATATCGCAACCTTTTAGTTCTGAAATTATAAAAAAACTATTTAGAGTGGGTTACTTAGTCCTATGATTAGTTAACTTACGCATGAAATCTGGTGTATTCTGTGAACCACACTAAATAAACAATTAATTACGTGGCTCCCTATATTTAGGTAAAGTCAGAACTGATACACAAAGAAAATGTTTTTCTTCAACCTTATAAGTGAGAATTTTCTATGGCAAGGATTTAAAAAAAAAAAAAAAATGTACAGGTGTCTATCATTTGTTTGAGCGAGATATATGTAGTGGGAAAGAGAGATAGTAGGTACCTACTCCGTGGGCGGGAGAAGAAGGTTTCTAAAACATGGAGGAATTAAGCAGTGCTGGATTAGCCACGTAGCAAGAGTAGCAAATGCTACGGGCCCCGCGGATTGGAGGGCCCCGCGCTCAAATAGGTATTTCTTAATTACACCACTTCAACAGCAAGACAACAAAACATTTTCTACATATTATGTAGAAAATGTTTTGTTTACAAAACTACTACCAAACTGCAAGTAATTTGATTTTTTTCTTAACGAAATAAACGAAAAAAGTCAAATAGTCGGTAATTTTTATGTGTAAGAAAAGGAAAGCGAGTATTTTGTCCGCTCGGTTGGTGCCATTGGCGGGCGAACCGAGCCGACGCGAACTGCGCGCACTGCTATTTCCGCCTCACCTCTAGGTATAATATCTATCATGAAAAACGTTGGTATCAAAATGAACAACAATAATTTGAAATTGTACAACATCTTTTAAATTGAGCGCTAGCCACACACAAGTTATGTGTTGTACTACTTGCACTGCACTAAACACAAGTTGGCAGCACTGCAAAACCATTTGCGGAATTCCCTGATATTATCATCGATCGAGCTAGCCGTAACTCGAACAAAAAAATTAGGAATCTATTGTCTATCAAATAATAAGAAATTGATATACACTTTCCTTTGACTCAATATAAAAAACTACTAAGTACTTTAAATGTGAACTATTTGTGAGAAAAGTTGTCTTGACATTGCTTCAAGTACTGTTTTCGTGATTGACGTAGCGCTGTGTGCAAATCATTCAATTATCTTTTTACCGACTTCAAAAAAAAGAGGGGGTACTATGTTCGACTGATTGTTTTTTTTTGTATATTCACCGATTACTCCGCCATTTATAAACCAATTTCCCAAATTCTTGCTTTGTTTGAAAGGTTTGACTCCCGAAAGGGTCCCATTTTCATGAGGTCGGGATCTGATGATGGAATCCTAGGGAAACCGAGGGGACTTTCGAAAATTGTAGGGGCGAGTAGTGCATGTTGTTTTAGTATATTTATTACAACGCTACAACTTGCCGATAGTCGAACTTGACCTGATGATGGAGCCGGAAGACAGTTGAAGGATCTCCTTGATTATTTGAAGTAGTTACCTTGTGTTTGGGCTTGAATGATTCGTATTGGTGAGCATTTTGCACAAAGATTGGTGCACCGTGACTGTCATTAGGGGTCTGATAATGAGAACGAAGGACAGCTTAGGGAATTCCTGAACGGTTCACAGTACCTTTTTTGTGTTTGGACTTAATTCATTTATATCGATGAAAAATTCGCACCTATATGGGTTACAATGAAGTTATGGAGTAAATCTGATGATGGAGCAGGAAGACTATCGTAAGATCTCTTTGACTATTTGGAGTAATTATGTTGTGCATGGATTTAATTCATTTATATTGATGAGAACTTTGCACCTATACGGATTACGTAAGTATATTGAAGGTCTGCAGTATAAGCTGCTGCAGTAGACATCACGACGTTTATTTTATTCGTCGTGATGTCTGTAGCGAAATACAAAGTACGACTCTCTCATGATCACAAACTGCAGTGGCGAACGTTATTTTTCAACGTTGAAACGAATTGAAAATGAATTAACGAACACTATGGGCCAAAAACGTTTTAATCATCTCACGTTGTTGAATATAGAGCATGACTTGCTTAAAGAAGTCGATATTGAAAGTGTAATCGCGAAATTTCACCATAATAAATCTAGAAAAGTTTTGTTACAGTTTTGTTTTATTTAATACCCTTTTGAGAACCGTTAGCAAACCAAGGGCCCCTTGACAGAATTTGCTACAGGCCCCGCGCTGGCTTAATCCGGCACTGGAATTAAGTCTACTTTTTTTCTATGGTTTAAGTCTTAAATAAGAAATACAAGCAAGTTAAACGTTGCATGTTACATCGTAGTATTACTGTACTTGTTGCTGCAAAACTTTTCATGTGTGAGTCGGACTCGCATTTGGCGGCTTTGTATATTGCTGTGATTTTATTATGTACACTTTCATTTATTACTAGCGACCCGCCTCGGCTTTACGCGGATGCAATGCCGATATACTAAATGTCTGCACTATTTAGTGGATGTTAATGTGCATAAACTTTCCTACATCGGTTTATATATTACAAAAAAACCGCATCAAACTCCGTTGCGTATTTTTAAAGATGTAAAGGTAATAATAGGGATAAAGGGACAGAAAAAGCGACTTTGTGATAGTGATTGAAGTTTTTTTTTCTTCAACTTTGTTCGAGATATCTGTCACGTGACTTTTTTGATTTATTGGATAGTGTATAGGAAGCCTTGTTGTCACATGCTTTAAATATAATAAATATTATTAAAACCGATTAAAATAACAAAACTGGTTTTTAGTTTTCGACAGTACAATTTATACTCTGGTAACATACATTGTTGTGGCAGCGTCAGAAAGCGTCATGCTGAATTTTTCTGCCGCCATTTTGATCGGAAAGCAAAGTCATAAGTGTTACGCTGCGGCCGTACTAGTGAATTTTATTAGTTTTATAAGTATATAGGGTGAAATTAGTGATAATGGTGCCGGTGAGTGGAATATTTAGTGGCTAATTATTCAGGTGTAAGTTGTAATGAACTAGGTTTACAATATTTCCGTCTATTTCAGCAAACGAAGGTGTTCGTCGGCAGCCTGCCTCAGGGCTCGAAGCCGGAGGAACTTCGCAAACTATTTGAGCGTTTTGGTGTCGTAACAGAATGCGACATAATGAATCGGTGTGGATTTGTACACATGCAAACCGAAGATCAAGCTTCTGCTGCCATTCGCGCCTTAAACAACACACCATTTAACGGTGGCGTCATCTCAGTGGAACGCGGCCGCATCAAGGAACGCGGCCAGCGAGGGGGCCCTGGAGGTGGCCGCGGTGGCGGTATGAGGGGAGGTATGCGCGGTGGCATGGACCGGCGCGGAGGCGGTCCCATGCGTGGCGGGCCGCCACCTCGCGACACTCCGTACTCTCGTGACAGGCCATCACATCCCCGCGGCCCTCCACCTGGCGGTCCCCCACAGATGGCCCCGCGGCCAATGCCGTACGAGCGCGCTGAGAGGCCGCCACCGCCAGTGTATGATGACCGCTACAATGGATACGGAGGAGAAGACAGGCGCGGCTTTGCGCTAATGGAGCGTGGGGCACGAGACCCTTACGCGAGTGCGGCTCCCATGTACCCAGAAGAGAGGCGGTACGACGAGATGCCCCCGATGTACGCTGACGACCGGCGTGCCCCGATGTACCCCGATGAGCGTGACATGATGGACCGGCGCGCGCCGATGCGTGCAGCCCCACAGCAGCTGCCCTACGAGCGCGCGCTGCCCCCGAGGCCGCAGCCCATGCCCAATGGAGAGATGTTCAGTCGCCGCTCCCCCATGTGAGTCACTATCCACTAGTTTATTAACTATCATGTTTCCAAGTAACACCAATCACAAGGATGCTCTGAAATGACTGATCAAGACTTGTTTGATATTCCTATCTCAAATGTTTGACATATTTTGCAAGCACACAATTTCTAAAGATCTGATTTGATTGTAATTAAATATTACAACATACAATTGTGCGTTCAGCTTAACATACAGATACCAAAAATGACTATGTACAGAGTTTCCACAACTTCAAGAATTTAGTATTAATTGCTATAATACTTATGCACACTGCTAATTAAATGTTACACACTGAAATGAGACTTGTGTGTATTGCAGGCGTGCAGCAGGTCCTGGATATGACAGAGACCCATACGCCCAGCAGTACCCTCCCATGGGACGGTAAGATCTTGCAATTATTTATTCAACTTTTGTAATAGGCAACATGGAGTTCTCAGTTTGTTTATTTTGAAATTACATGTTTTCCTGTTTATTGTTTTGTGGTGCCACAGAATGGCTTATAATAATAAATACATATGCATTTTTTGGTCACTTGAACACTTGTTTTTGAAAGGATATGACTAAAATGTCTATGAATATACTCATATACACAAAAAATATGGTTTTGGTGCTTTAAAATACATAAAATAAGATAAAAATGTCTTGCTGTAAACTCTTCCACAAAAAGGAAAACTTGTAAATTAAATGTATAAGTAAAAGTAGTTGTAAATCCATTATGCTAGCAAGTTTTACAGTTAATATGCTATTGAAGACATTGTGAACTCCTTGTTGACTGTTACCACTTGACAACTGCTTGACATCATCATAATGGATCATGCAAACATCACGTAAAACATCATCAAAACACAAACTATAATTATCAACATGCCACTAATACGATGTCACCTTATCCAGAATAAGGTGTAGCGTTGCTATGTTAAGATATGTCGACACTCACTCCCAGATAACTGTGAACGCCTCTTAGGTTGTAGTGAATATAAAGTTACGGTGCCCTAATGAGAGAACGCTAGCTAGTTAGTGGAGGTGCGGTTTCACTATGAGCTAAGGCGGTGTCATCACTGTTTCCCTGAGGGTCGGTCGTAAGCGTGCTGTTGTTTGTATAGCGGGGGCGGTGCGGCGCGCGGTAGAGAGCTGACAGGTCTGGGGGGCCCGCGCCGGTACTAGCGCGTAGTAGTACCCGCGACACGAACAAATGAGTACCTAGTGCCGGGCGACGGTCGAACTAAACGTGCGACACGTTCGGTGCGGACATGTAGCTTGTAAGTCCAGTACGAGTGAAAAATTATGTGAATCACTTTATACATTGTAATAAATGCGAGATATATTGACGGAACGTTTTCATTTCACCCGCTGTTTTGTTGACATGCTCCATGTTACATATTGATCGAATTAGTTTTATATAATTGTTTGGATTGATTACGATAATGATAAGTCTTAAATGTTAAGATACATTTTATTTAAGTTGTATATTTTACATTTAAAATTAAATTCTTCGAAATAAAGATTTACTTTAATTCACCTACCGGCACTAAACTCTTCATGCATGTTACCTTGAGATCTTTGGCTTCGAATACTGCTTCTGTCTGGTTGCGGTACTTCTGTTTAAATTTGTGGTTTTATTGCAGGACAACTTATTTTGCGCGGTCGGCTCGTGCTGACCGATATCGAAACTTGGTTGTTCCATGTACCTGTCTGTTTACAGGCAGTGCTCTCGAGGGGTGCGTTCATTGCCATCAAGCGATTTCCTTAAACTCAGACTCTTGTAGATATCTAAAATTTTAAAACTAGTAAACACGTAACCATCAGTTAGGTCACAAGAGATGTTGTCTTAAACCTACTTTAACAATAACAACTAGAGATAAACTGTAAACTTGCGTCCACGTAACTCGATGCGAACGCACCCCGAGCTGTGTTGGTAACGTAATTACAGCAGAGCGGCAATCGTGGGCGAGTGCCGCTTAGGGCGACATAACGGCTATCTATTTGTATGACATACCGCTGTCGAACGGCGACATACCACAAAGTGCGTGCGAGTCCTTTCAGATAGTTAGATGCGGCACGATGACGAGCTTATGGCGGCGATGCGTAGTCGATGCTAAAGCGACGGCGTTATGCTGTATACGTTAGGCGACAACGACAGAAGACACAGGAAAGCGAAAAATTGCAAATCGTAAGTACGGCAGAGAACAGCTGACGTTCACGGCGTGCGTGACCCGAGCCTCGAGCTCGCTAGTCGATCTACCAAACCGACAAATGTGCACACTATGCGTTAGTCGTACTCCAACAAATGTTGCACACTACATTAAATTTCTAATACAAGTCTGCTACGGATAACATCGCGCAAGACTGCGCAGTGCGCATAATCTGGCCCTACGATGCTTTAGTGACAGTCTGGCCAAAAATATATTAATTTATCGTCTGTTTTGTTTTATTTTAACGACGAAATTATAACGTAAACGTTAAAATATATAAACTATAACGTCACTTCCACACATTGGCTTAACTTCCTGATACTAATATTCTGGTATATTTTACAGGATTTGGGCGCCCGGGTGAAAATCGAGGTTTCTGACGTGTGATGAAACTGGATCACCTATGAGTTCCGCTTCTCTTTGAGACTGGGTACAGTCCCATTACCTGATGTTGTTTGAGGATGATTGAATAAATCTTTTTTATATATTTACTGACATCGTTTTATTTTAAATGTTCCTGAATAGACATTTGCATCTTGCCAAGTAGATCTCAGCAAAATCTCAAATGAGATAAAGTCACAATAAATACTCCAACTACATAATATTATTTGATTGTTTTTGTACACGTTTTTAAAACTGCTGGCATTATTTCAGCAGTAATAAATCTGTCTAATCGCTGATTAATAAAAATACATTAGGTATAGTCACCAACAGAAGTGTTTGGTCTGTGTTAAACACATTTAAAACGCTCCACACTTGTATTTCTTCTTGTTGTGGGTGCGTTTACCAACACATGCCATCCAGTCCCGAAACAACGATGAATGGATTACACAGTGTTGTTCAGTTGCCAGTTGACACGCAAGAACCACGCAGTCATTGCACACAACAATCTTATTACCACGTGTGGTACTCTTATTGTAGCACCTATCATTTTGGAAGAAAATAACTATTTCCTTCAAAGTCAAAAATTTTGTATGGCTAGTAATACTCCAACTGGCATTTTGAACAAAATACTTTTGTAAATCCCTTCATTTAATTGCTTTTCTAAAGTATAACTTTTAAAATATTTGTTTTAATTAACGAGATTAAAGTAACTATGGGTAAGCGTCAGTGACTGCGAACAAAATATATAACCTAATTTTGTTGTATATCAAAATTTTTAAGTCCATCTTTTTTTAATGTAATAATAGGTCGGCAAACGAGCAGACGGTAAGTAGTACCTGATGGTAAGTAATCAGCGCCGCCCATGAACGCAACGGAGGAGTTCGAGTGCGTTGCCGACCTTTTAGGGATTAGGGTTTTGGAGATTTAGGGATTGGGCCTCCGGTAACCTCACTCACACGGCTAAACAACGCTGTAGTTGTTTCACGTCGGTATTCTGTGAGGTCGTGGTATCACTCCGGTCGAGCCGACCCATTCGTGCCACTTAACTTATCTAGTTCAGACAAGTTACTCGATCATCTAATACGTAAAAATGGAAGTTACTCTGAATAAAAACACAAAAGGTTGCTTTAAACTTTTATTTAGCATATTCAAAATATATTTTCACGTAATATATATAATATATGAGATTAAAACTTTGCCGATGTATCTCACTATTTCACACTTTGTACTCAAGCTAAGCCACACTCGCTAGTGACAGCAATATTACACGATATACTGTGACTAACTTCTTTGGGATATGGCACTACTTGTACAAAATAAGCTTGTTATAGAGAACAGGAAAAATCTATTGATATTTGCTAAAACAGAAGTTCAGAATTTTTCATTTAAAAAAAGAACAAAAACAGCTTGGCTGCATAAATTATATATTAATTTCCGAATATATTACACAAGGTATTATAAATTTTAAAAAATATACAAGAGATCTGTTGTTTAGTGGCTGGGAATGACAGTAATTGCAGCTATATTTTTAACATCGGCGCCTGCTGCCACGCGAGACCACTTTTGTCAGTTATTTATATTCCAGTTAAAATTACAACCACATGTACTGGTCATCATTCACCTGCCCATACAGCTACAAATATTTCATTCTAGTTGCCAAATCTTCACTATCATTGTAGATTTTGAGATGAACAATAATTTCGATCTGGGCAGTTTTGGAATATCACAAAAAATACTAAACTAAACACTGCTCACTTAAAACTAGTAATACTTTTTAAAATATCAATACAAAATTATAATTTCATGAGATTCTTAAACAAAATGCAATCACGCGCAGTGGACGGTACCTAAGTCGTTTTTGAATACAATTAGTTATTGCAATAATTTTACTATTTTTTTGTACAATAAGTATTTAAGTGAAGTTTTAAATAAGCTACAACTATTGCATGATCACTTGAACATGAACTTAAAAGTGTATATGAAAGACTAAATGCATCTAAATAATAAAATAAATAAGTAATCCAAGACTTTGGCGTTTGCGCAATATGTGACCATGTCGACTAGCATAGGTTGTCAAATCACAAGTAAGTACAATAAATACTACTCACACGAGGCGCGGCATAAATACTCGCTAAATAATGGAATATATAATAAAAAAGATAATATTATAATAATTATTAAATTTCATTTTTTAGTTATCTAATGACAAGCACAGAATTATGGTAATAATTCTCACTCTCCTTTCTCAATGCCCTTATAAAAACTCGCTGCCTATGTTTACATCCCTAATTGTTAGGCAGTAGATGTACTGATACAAGAGAAGATATCCCCAAACCATTAAAATCTACGTCTCTAAAATTCTGAATGATATTTTCAAAGACCAGTAGCCATTTCTATACAAAATACCGATAATTTACCCGATCTTACATAACGCATCTTAGCTTCATTCCTTATTCTTACATGACATTTTATTTAATTGAAAACTACTACAGTCGAAGTAAATAGGCTATAGGGCTCACCAAATATAACTTAGGTAGCTACCATTAATCTGCAAATTATAACATAATTATTTATATACATATATAACCCTCCTTTTGCTTTGCTGTAGTCGGGTAAAAAGAAGTCTAGCCAAAGTCATCTTCTAAGCCGTGGGTATAAAGTATGGCTTTCAAGTGAGACCAAGAATTGCTCTAGACATCAGATGGAACATTCACAGACATGGTGGGCTTATCCGAGATCAAAATACAACCACTTGATTAACAAATATATCGCTACATTTGTCATAAGTGGCTTGCTAAATTTACTTAAAATTTCGGCAAGATCTCTACATTTATTGATTGCTAAAGCCTATTTACTTCAGCCGCATTGCAAAGCAAGCTAAATTTGTAACACGAAATGGAAATCACAACATTAGAGGGATGTATTGTAATTTGTAAGTACGTTGACATACCCCTACATCAGTCTAACAAACTCGACTGGTGGATAATAATAACCCAACTAGCTATTACCATTGGCAACTTTCCTTATATACCTATAACCTTTTATAAACCAAAGAGGTTGACATTAAACAAAAAAAAAAAAAAGCTTATTGCACTATTCTATCATCATCAGTTTGGGCCATTGCTTTGAAAAGGCCTGTTTCTCACAAGGTTAAGAACTCGGCTGTAATCACGACGCTTGCTCTAGGCCGACTGGCAGTTTTGAACTTATACTTTAAAATTATAAGTCCAGGTTTCGTGACGATATTCTTTTATAGTTAGCTACGCCTAGATAATCTTAGAAAGTACATATAACTCGGATAATATCACATTGGTACTTGCCAGGTTTCGAAACAGCACCCTCATGCATGAGGGCTTTGAGTATTAGGAAAAGAGCTTCAATTTAACTGTTATTACGTTGCCATGGTAACGCCAGTTGGTTTAATACGACCGCTGCTATTCTACAACAGAATTTCGTTAACATAGCACCTTGAGATTATTATATCTAGTGCCAGGTACTGGGTACACACACATTAATTTATATTTTTAATTAATTATTGCTAACATTAGAAGGCAAATCGTGCATGATTGTACTATACGGAAGGCAGTCGTTATAGTTCGCGTATCACACTACTGCTGATTCACTATTTTTATTATTCGATGAATAGACTCTGTATCATTCTAACCGGTTAGATTCTTAATAGACAGGAATGATGGCTAGTAAGACTGCAGATCACAATTTAAATAGCTTCATATCCATCGAAATATGCTATGAGGATGAGTGATTTCGATACTTTTTCTGCCGCCAGACGGCGCTTCGTATGCGTTAGGTCCAAACAGCTGTCAGATAGCACAAATTTTTACTGAACTAAAAATATTTTTATGAAATTTGATATATTTGGAAGTGTTATTGATTTGATTAGGGATTACGGTCAAATAAAGGTTGCCGAACTGAAGACTGAGTTTAAAAAGAGTGTCCGGAGTTCTTTTGGAAACAACATACAGTTTGTAACGTTAATGAGAATTAATAAATAAAAAGCGACCGAAAAACATCAATCGTGTAGTTATGATTTGACAGATGGTTGGACTTAACACATATGAAGCGCCGCCTGGCGAGAGAAAACGTATCGAAAACCTTCATTTGTGGTTTTCAAATTTAGAACCTATCACAAATGTGCTAATATTGTGATGGGAGCTTATGTCCGGCTGCCATATTTGAAAACGCTCAACCTACGTGTTAACCCCTATATTGTTATATTATTATCTCATAAGATCTACATGAGAAATGAATTTGGTTAAGAATCTAACCGTAGTAGTACTGTCATAAAATCGCTATTTTATTGCTAACTTATCGATGAGGACACTAACGTCTACAATCAGATTCTATTGCAAATATTATAAGTTCCAAGATATTTAGTTATTTATTGATAATAATAATTATTTTAAAAACATTTTGCAATAACATCTGTTTATGGACTTAAAATAATATACATTGACGTAGCTAGGTAATACTTCTGTGGGACAACTTGATGGTAATAATGATGACGAAACTTTTTTCGAGTAATAGGTCGGCAAACGAGCTGACGCATTACCTGATGGTAAGCAATCGGCGCCGCTCATTGACACTCGCAATACCAAACGAGAGTACGTAGCGTTGCGAGAATAGAGGGTGGGGGAAGGGGGGTACCTTGACACCTAAGAATCGTTTCGTAGTAAATCTATTAAAGTGTCTAATATAATGACTCTTCAATCTGCCCATGGATACTCGTTAGGGCAAAGCAGTTACAGGTACGTGCGTGCGTGATGACTTTTGTGGTTTAATAGGAATTTAAGAATAGGGGATTCGGTGATTGAAGTTGGGAAAGGAGGAGAAAGATTATGCCTCCTAAAGTCAACGCAAGCGTGTTTCATGCCGGTATTCTGTGTGGCCGTAGTATCACTCAGACCGAGCCGACCCATTCGTGCCGAAGCATGGCTCATACATTAAAAAATGTAAAATTGATTTGACTAGTTGTTATTACCCTCACTTGGACTGCCCAAGGAACACTGAAGGGTTTACGAATGCGTTGCCAGGCATTTGGAAGGGAGGAGATTGGGCCTCCGTTAACTTCTCACACGACGGAACACCATACAACTTATTACGCGCCTATAAGGCCTGGTATTGAAAGGTTTTGGAAGAGCTTGTCCCTTAGACGACCGTGGTATCACACCGATCGAGCCAGCCGATTAGTGTCGAAACAACGTGAAACATAGTCCACTTATTCACTTCCTAGCTACGTCCATGTACATCTATCTATTTTCTATAACTAGATTTGGTATTAATTTGTACATTAATAATTGGGATGTGGTTTCTTAATACTCCTAAGATATCACGTCTATTGGTAAAACAGGTGAGGATAGAGAAAGCTGAGGCTAAGAGAATATTGGACATAAGAAGCTGAATACAGATTTCAGTGGAAAAATGTGTTGAAAGAATTCGTGTCTTCGTGTCTCCTTCAATAACAAGCGTTATTTCAACAATATTAAAGTACACTTTACAGTGTTTGTGTATTACGCTTAGTGGTAAGCCAAGATCTTTTTGATGACCTTTAATTAAGCAAATTTTTTGATGAGACGTGGTATCGCGGCGACGCATACTCTGCTCATGAATAAGTCCCGTTGTGAGTTAAAATTTGTAAATTTTCTCAGTTTATTCAAGCAAGTAGGGAGTACTTTCAATTAATTCAGTTGTCACACGATAGTTACTATACAAAAAGACCTTTGGAAAGTTTCTGGGAACATTGACTTTGGCTAATAATTTAGGTTTTCTCATTTTACTATTTTTTTCTGTGCTTTTTATCCTTTAATGTTTGTAGTGATGTTTTTTGTAAGCAAAAATTATATTTTATTCGCTTAGAAATAAATACCATTTTTCTTAACACGACACAAATTTTTTCAACACATTTTATAATAATTAGGAAAATATAGGTGTCAGATCTTACGGAGTTATGAGCGTGCGTATTTAAGGGCTTGATTGAGTGGTTTCTCCTCCTTAAGTGATTCCTTGAGGACCAGATCTGAGCTGGCGAAGCGTGGTTGAGTTTGTTCACTCTCTGTATCCGTCTCCGACCGGCTTTGGGAGTCAGTTGGCCTGGAAATGAGAAGTAGTTTAGATCGTAAGGTTCTTTTTATAAAGTCGAATTTTGATCATTCTTTATTCCTTCATCTTTATCTTAAGCAGCCTACTTTTCTGGCCGTTCACAAGAACGCCTTCAGAGTAACTATTAATGGCATCCATTGTGAGTAAAACTAGACTTATATATTTTTATTTCAAATTCGAAATTGCCAATCCGCCTTGAGCAAGCGTGGTGATTAATATTCAAACTTTCTCCACGTGAGAAGAGGTTTTGCTCAGCAGTTGGCACTTGTAGGTGTTAACAATATACCTATGCAACTACAATTACATTTTTTAAGACTAGAAAAACATTAAATATACCGTATTTATAAAGTAGATATGAATACTTCCTATACGCGGTACCAAGTTAGAGGTTTTAAAACCTAATTTACTAGTAATATAAGTCCCATACAATAGTCTAGCTTATTGCTATTACCATTCAAAAATCCTAGTCTGCATCCTTACCTTAAAATATCATATAACTTTCGAAAATCTATCGCGTCATTATAAATCATACTTATCGGTGACTATAAAAATTATTCTGTATATATTTCTGCATGCAAAACATTTTTATTTAAAGTGTAAAAGCTTCCACACCACACTGTGAAGAAGGATTGTGAGTATCTTTACTTGAGATGATAAATATGTTAAAATATTGACCTGTGAATAATGTTAAAAGTTGAACATGATCAAGATATAATGTGCGTACTATGACATATTTTAAAACATTGTGCACTGGCGTGAAATTGGAACGATGACAGGTGAAATTAAATACTTTTTATGAAACATCAAAAACGACACATTCTGACGGCATCTTTTTTGTTTTATATTTGCTAAAAAAATACAATAATAAGTTTGAAATTGAACCTTGAATATGAGTATCGTTTTTTTAAGATACTGTTATAGATTTGTTAGTGGGAAATAATCAGTTTTGACCGAGCCATCATTCCAATTATGTTAGACAATATCCATGCATTCCATACTTACCAACATACAGAAATCCAGTGAATTCATTGTTCCTTTACGCTGTGGACATTCTAACCTTACAGAGCCTACATTTACAATAAAGCCACACCCATTCCAACATACAGAGGACTTACATCCTTATACTTGTCACAACAAGTGTTATTATGCAGTGATTTTCTTTCCCCGGTTGATAGACCTCACAAGACCACGACTAACGTCTCCATTAATGACGGGCAAGCTATGGATATACTGCTTAGTAATATAAAGGCAGATCACCATGAATTATGGTTACGATGGTGCAAAGATTTCTAAGTATTATCAAGGTTTTTTAGAGGGAAAACAAGTGACTTCTCGAGCCCTGGGCGAGGCAATAGGGAGTGATTAACTCTTACTAACTAGAAATCACCCAGTTCCTTATACAAGTTCAAAATCACCCAGTTACCTAAAAGTATTTTTTTATCTATAGGTCGGCAAACGAGCAGACGGATTACCTGATGGTAAGCAATCAGCGCCGCCCTGGACACCCGCAACGGAGGAGTTACGATGCGTTGTCGACCTTTTAGGGATTAGGGATTTGGAAATTTAGGGATTGAGGAGGGATTGGGGGAGGGGAGAGATTGGGCCTCCGGTAACCTCACTCACACGGCGAAACACAACGCTGTGGTTGTTTTACGCCGGTTTTCTGTGAGGCCGTGGTATCACTCCGGTCGAGTCGACCCATTCGTGCCGAAGCATGGCACTCTCACACTTAAAACGTATTATAGAGAACGACGGCGAGGTTGCGGGGCAAGCTCAATGAGGTACCGCGGCCTCGGCTTATAGCAGGATAAGGAACGGGGGGTTTTCAGTCAGTAAGACCCAGGACCTCGCCCTACCCTGGGCGTGAAAAGTAGTGTCTGATGGCCGGTTTCCGAAACCCCGATCAATGTTAAAATCAACTAACTAGGTGTCAAGTCATCTGATTGGTTGTTGATAATTCAGTCAACCAATCAGATGACTTGACAAGAGATTAAATTGACTTTTACATTGATCAGCCTTTCGGAAACCGGGTGTTAATCTTATTATTGCCTAGCTATCATCTCTATTCCATACTTAGAAATCTTTACAAGGAAAACAAGCGAGTATTACAGTTTAGGATACGCAATCAGAAAATTGTCGGCTCCTAAACGGTAATGATGTCTCACAACACGAAGCCAGGGCCAGATTAATATACCCAGGGGGCCTGTGCAATACAATCTCAAGGCCCCATTTCTTTGTGAATGAATTTTAAACGATTTAGGGCTCATTTTTCAATAGTCACATAAGTGTTATCAGAGGTCTAAAATTGTTGCTGTCACTGTCTTATAAAAACATTGTGACGCGACAACATCATAATTACTAGATGATGTACCCACTAAATGATGTAACAAAGCAATGAATTGTAAAACTGATTGAAAAAGAGTAACCATGGAGTTTCTTGCCCGTTCTTCTCCATAGGAATCTACACTTTGGAACGAGCAAATAGCTTCACTAGAGGACAGATAGACAGACTACTTATTTCCTTTTTTTGCTTGACGCTCAAAAGTGTCTACTGTGGTCTTATTGAAACAAATGATTTTGACTTTTATTATTTCCCAGATAACTTTACACTAACTATTGAAAAATCAGCCCTTAGAGATATTGTTAATTGAAGAAAGTTTTGTCTGATTCAAAGAAGGGTATTGTTATAACGTTTAGAGTCTATAAAGTCTATAAAGGCATAAAAATACTATTCTACTTATTGGTTAATCTGACCCGGCACAAAGCACACATTCCATGATAAAATTGTTAGCAAAGAAATTTAAATATAGTCATCTTTTACTTTGTATTGTAAGGCAAGCCAATACATGAATTTTAATTTATTAACAATGCGAGGCGCTTATTTGTAGTGTGTATGCGTTAACTGGATCTTAATTTGCGCAACTATTTTTAGTGACACGAGTCGTTTGCGCATACAAAAAAAATGCGCAAACTTTTAGTAAACGTTGCGCAATTTTTTTTAGTAAAAGATAACAATACTTAAAAAAAGAGCAGCACCATGATACAAGACAAAACTCAAAAAATAAAAAGATTTCCAAAAAGATTGAATTAGAAAAATAAAGCTTTTATAAGCTTATTGAAATTAGTATACCCCAATTTAGCCGCTGTGTTGATCCACGTCATCCATTCAGATCTGAGGACGGAATAATCGTTGTTAAAATTGCAGTTCCGCTCTAAATTTTGACAGTATTTTTTTCAAACTCCCATTACACATTCTTGATTTCAGTTATAAACGATACATCAAGCTATACTATACATCAAATTGTGAATAAAAAAAGTCTCTAAAAACATAAGACTAGCTGAAGAATTTGTTTGTTTGACCGCGCTAATCCCCAGAACTACTGGTTCGAATAGAGCAATTATTTTTATGTTAGATTTATTTATTTATTGTACACCATAAAATAAATACAGATGAATTTGGGATTCAATGTACAATGGGTCTTATCGCTAAATGCGATTTGGTACAGACAACCTAGATAATTCATTTATCGAGAAAGATAGATCACCTTGACCACCCTGGACCGATGCCGGGAGTCAGGATTAGGGAGTTGCGCCCATTATTTATTTATATAAGGACAACTAACAAAGCAGTTCAGGTAAGTGAAACATTTTAAAGCCGTAATTAAAGAATGTCACGGCATGCATTATACTCAGTAGGCGAACTTATTAAACCTAAAATTGACATTTAGCTATTTAATATTAGAAAGTAAAGCTGACCAATAAAAAATGTAAATTTCAAATATAAAAATTACATTAAAAATATTGATTTACTTGTCAGAATTTTCGTTCTCAATTCACGTAAGGTATCTAAATAAAGATTAAAAAAAAATCATTGACAAATCGTGGCTCGTCCACGCGTTAAAATTACAAATAATAATGTCTGAAAACTAGTCGTAGAGTACGTACCTATACTTCCTAGTGTTGTTGGGCGAGAGACATGCGAGGTGTTTGAGCAGAGTGTGCCTGGCTGGGGGCTCGACGCAGAGCTTGGCGGGGGGCAGGTCCACGCAGAACATGTTGCGCGCGTCGCCCAGGAACGTCGTCTGGTAGTTCTCCATCTTCAGTTGCAGGAGCAACACGTCTTCAAGGTCCGCCTCGCTGCATTTTTTACAGAGTCAAGTCAATTACCTTTTAATTTTATAAATTTTGTTTGTTTGTTTATGTGCTTTGGAGTTATTCAATGTGTTCATTGTTATTATGTAGTATTGTGTCTTGTCTTAACTCTTATGGTAGATTACGGCGCATGCGACAGTATCAAACATTAGGTTGACTTTTGACTGTCAAAGTTAGCCTAGCGAAGCGTCATGGTCGATGGTTGTGAGGACGATCTGAACCAATGATGTATAAATCTATAGATACGTTGTCCGCGCTCTAAAATGACAACATGAAATGAAGGCAATTGACAACATCGCGCTTAGTTACGCACCAACCTGCCGCGCGACGCTACGTTTGTTTTTAATTTATATCGTGTGTGTAAACCTGTGCGAAACATAAGTAAAGCATGCCGTCGTGTGTGTTCAGACGATGCACAAATTATACTCCAAAAGTTAAAGACAAAAATGTGTCATTTCATGCGTAAGTTCACCAAACAACCTAAATTTATTTTATTTTTTTCGACGCCGGCGCCCGCCATCTTATGGCGGCCATCATAAGAAAATGTAGTTTTACTATTACTTATCCTGTGATGTAACTGAAGATGTATATTTATCTCCCTCTAGCAAAGGCATTCCATTATACGATGTCATATTTTCTTTCCCTTTCTTTACTCGTAGAAGTAGTTATCTAGTATTTTCGCCGTTTTTAAGCGCCGCGATGTTGGTTCATGACGTGTCTATATATAATACGTCATTGATCTGAACACACTTCTGGTTCAAGACGGCGTCCGAACACCACGCTTGTGGCGAATCGCTATGCATCCAAGTGATTACTGTCATTGTAACGAGGTCTTGTAGTTTTTTCTGCTCACGCTCACTTGCCTAACTACCTACTTACATACGTCATATAACAAGAGTTTGACGAAGGCCCTCCTGCTATTACAAGTATTTATTTTTTTATGATAGGACGATATGGGCCTACGAATCACCTGATGGTAAGCAATGAGCGCCGCCCATGGACACCCGCAAAATAAGAGTTATGAGTGCGTTGGCGGCCTTTTAGGGGATAAAGGATTGGGAAGGGATTAGGTGAAGGAAAGAATTGGGCCTCCGCTAAACGCACTCACACGGCGAAACACAACGCTGTGGTTGTTTTACAACTTTATTATTCAAGTCTTAATTACATTATTTTGTTGACTATTATAATAATTTGTTGACATTTAAATACCTACGCAAGCTATCGTCTCAGAGAAAATACACTTGACAAAAGACCACTAGAGCTGCAAGAAAAACTGAAACAAAGTATCCCTCACCTAGCGGAGTAGAGGAACTGCGCGAAGTGTATGTTGGAGACGCAGCCCTCCTTGTCCTCGCTGTCGGTGTAGAGGTCCGTCTCCCGGTAGTACATGTACAGGAAGTCGTTCAGCTGCTTCGCTATCACCGCGCAGCGGTCCTTGTCGCACATCTTGGCCGGGGGACCCTGGTAACAGATTGATTCGAATAATAATATCTACTAATAATATTATAAAGCTAAATGAACTGTATTACAAAACAAGATTTATGTTTAGTCCAGGTTTAAACCATTGAGTCGGGTTTTGAATTTTGAATCTTATTCTCACCTACCTTCAATTCGAAATACGAAAACTAGCTCTATGGTTTAGTCCTAGACTAAAGTAAAACCTTGTTTTGTAATAAGGCCGAAAGAGTTTATTTGTATCTCTAATCTCCGGAAAAACTGGTTCAAATTGAACTATTCTTTTTGTACAAAACAGCACTAATATAGAGGAAGGCTATAAAACACCACATATACTATTATTAACAGTAGTTGCGCAGAAGTCATAAAATATAAAGCTTGTGAATTTTACGATATTAAGTAGCGTAGTTCAATTCCATTACATTTTCCAGTTAGTAAGACCGAAATAAATAATATTGTTATTTGTTTTTTTTTTTGTGAGGCGATAATCAATATACAGCTGCTCTCGCCCTGGTTAGACTCTTACACACGGTTTCTGAAAGGCTTGTCAACGCTAAAATTAACTAATCTCCTATTAAATCTATTGTCAAGTCATCTGATTGGTTGTTGATAATTCAGTCAACCAATCAGATGACTTGACAAGAGATTAAATTGATTTTAACATTGATCGGCCTTTCGGAAACCGAGGGTTAGTCAGACTCTTACTGACTAAAAACCACCCCGTCCCTTCTCCTGTTTCGGAGCCGGGGCTGCGATACATTATAACGCCAGGACTCGCAACCCTGGCTGTGATAATAATGATGTTATGTGCTGTGTTAACAATCCGTGATATCAAAATATAACAAAATAATTACAAAGGACTTTTTCGTGCGGAAAAACACACAATTTTTTTGCAAAGAACACAAAAATCAAAAGCTTGCTAAGCATGCATTAATTGCAATTTAGAATAACAGTGTTAGTGCGAAACACACAGGTTGCGTGCATGTAGATATTCCTTCGAAAAAACAAATATCACTTTACTGCTCTCTTCGTCAAATGCTAAGACAGTTGACGTCACTTCACGTCGGACACCCCAAGGTTAGGTTTGTTTTTGACTTTTTCTAGCCAATACAAATGAAATAAATAACTATGGCCTTGTAAAATACCGGTAGTTAAGTTTCTACAAACCTCACTGCAATGAAGAGAAACATCCATGCCGGATGATATAGACTACCAAAAAGTCTATTGATAAAGTTTTTCGAAGAAACTCCATTCGTATGTGTGAGAAAAGCCATGCATAGAGGCGATCACCTTTACATTATAGGGCATGCGGAGAGACGCGGACGCCTTGCGTAGAAACCGTAGGACTAACGAAGCGTGCGCCACGCCTAGCTCGTTGCTGGGGGACGATACCCGCTTCAGGACGTGCGTTAGGAACAGGCCGAAGGCGCGACGAGCTTCACCCATCCTGTTCAGAAAACAGATGTTGTTTAGAAACGTTTGGTATGGTTTCGACAGTTTTTTAAGAAATTACAAAAAATCTTCTTAGACTTTACCAAAGCTTTCGATAGTGATCACATTCCTATTTTGTAGTGCAGAATGAGATTACTAGATATTACGGTAAACTCTTAACTACCCTTAAAATAATGATCAGTTAAGTCATAATAATATTTTTAAAGTATTTACACAATTAGTAATACTACTTTGCATCTTGATATGGATCATAAACAAATTTTTTAGGAGTTCCCCAAGGAAGTATATTGGGACCACCTTAATTGTACAAGATATGTTAAATGTATTTTTATTCCTAATAGGACTTACGTTAGCTTCATGCCGTCCATGAGCTGTCGTTTGACAAGTTCCTTAGCTCTCCTGGTGTCGTGATGTTGCGGAGTGGTTTCTCCCAACCAGACGGCCGGCGCCTGGCAAGTTATACTTACTGCTTCGTAACGCTTTAATCTGCAATTTGTAAAGTTTATGTTTTATTGTAACTTTAAACAAAATATGTCGCTTAACGACATATTTAAGTGTGGGAGAGCCATCCTTCGGCACTAATGGGTCGGCTCGACCGGAGTGATACAACGGCCTCACAGAAAACCGGCGTGAAATAACCACTGCGTTGTGTCTCGCCGTGTGAGTGAGGTTACCGGAGGCCCAATCCTTCCCCTTCCCCAATCCCTCCTCAATCCCTAAATCTCCAAATCCCTAATCCCTAAAAGGTCGGCAACGCACTCGTAACTCCTCCGTCGCGAGTGTCCATGGGCGGCGCTGATTGCTTACCATCAGGTAATCCGTCTGCTCGTTTGCCGACCTATTAATACTTTGAATAACAAAAAGACTGCAGATCTATGGGGTAATTCTGTGTACATTACAAGCTCTGTAATAACTATTGTAGCAACTGTATTGGCTCAAATCTTTAATAACTGTATTGACTGTGGTGTGTTTCCTGATCTTATGAAATGTAGTAAAATAATTCCATTATTTAAATCAGGTATACTTCTGACCCCACTAACTTTAGACCTATTTCAGTACTACCTACGTTCAGTAAAATTTTTGAAAAAATCATTTTAGATCAAATGCAAAGATTTTTTAATAGAAATAAATTATTACATGCGAAGCAGTTCGGATTTACAAGGGGTCGTTCAACAACTGATGCCGGTGTTGAACTTCTTAATCATATTTACGACGCATGGGAGGACTCAAGCGACGCTTAGGGAATATTTTGTGATTTATCCAAGGCGTTCGATTGTGTGCTTCATGATACACTGATCAGGAAGCTTTCCCATTACGGAATTAGAGGTGCATCTCTGGACCTTCTTACATCATACCTGAGTAATAGGGTTCAGAGAGTCGAAGTAAACGGAATGGTTTCTGCCGGGTCTGTTGTGAAGATGGGTGTTCCGCAGGGTTCTATTCTCGGCCCGTTTTTATTTCTTATCTATATTAATGACTTGCCTTACCTTGTAAGGGATAAACACGAGATAGTGCTGTTTGCTGATGATACCTCACTATTATTCAAACTCAGACGACGACAATCATTAATTGACAATGTAAACAGTGCTCTCTCAGAAATAGTTCACTGGTTTGGTGTGAATAACTTATTACTAAACGAAACTAAAACTAACGCCCGGTTTCCGAAAGGCCGGTCAATGTTAAAATCAATTTAATCTCTTGTCAAGTCATCTGATTGGTTGAATGAATTATCAACAACCAATCAGATGACTTGACAAGAGATTTAACAGGAGATTAGTTAATTTTAGCGTTGACCAGCCTTTCAGAAACCGGGTGTAAATGAATTAAATTCACAACACCAAATGTTAAACAGATAAAAACCAGTGTGCTTGTCAAGGGCGAGGAGTTGAGTCCTGTAGATACAACTGTCTTTTTAGGTATAACCCTGGACGCTAAGCTCCAGTGGGGCCCACATATAGATGGCTTGTCGAAGAAGCTCAGTTCTGCAGCATATGCCGTTAAAAAAATTAGAAATTTAACAGATATAGATACAGCGCGGTTAGTTTATTTTGGTTATTTTCACAGCATCATGTCATACGGTATTTTGTTGTGGGGGAATGCTGCTGACATCCAGTCTATTTTTGTTCTGCAGAAAAGGGCTATTCGATCAATCTATAATCTTAGTCCGAGGCATTCGCTCAGAGAATTATTTAAGGAATCTAAAATAATGACAGTTGCCTCTCAATATATTTATGAAATGTAATTCACGCTCATAAAAACAAAAGCTTATTTAAGAAATATAGTGATATACATAATATCAACACGAGGGGGAAAAACAAATATGTTGTGCCTGCCTCCAGGCTTCAGAAAATAAGTAGTTCGTTTAGGTGTCAATGTATACGCTTTTACAATAAAATTCCTAGCGATATTCAAAATTGGAGCCTCAATAAATTTAAAAGTGTAATAAAGGCTAAACTTTGCTGTAAAGCATTTTTTAAAATAAAAGGATACTTAGAGGATAGTCAGGCTTGGGAATGAGCCGCTGTAATGTCTGCACAGGTCATGTTGACATGTTTGTAACATAAGTTACACTTTTATATACAATTTGACATTACGTTTATTTTTTTTTTATACAATGACATGATCACCTATTGTGACATTTTTATTTTTTATTTGACATTTTTTTTTATTTATTTGTTGACATTTTTATTATTTTATATTATTGTTAGTGTAAGGACCGTGTGAGACTTGTCGTGCTTTTTTATCACCAGTCATCTGCGTTCTGACAGTTTGAGTACTTGCGCGACCCACCCAAATGTTCTTTTGATCGGTATTGTTCGTCGGACAACTCAACAGCACTAGCTATATGGTTGCAAACTGACACTTGCGTGCCTGTCTTCAGAACGGGTCCACTTAAACTGGTGTGGTTCTTTCCTCAAAAGACCACTACAGAATGAACTTGCACGGTTCTCTCACATTATGTTATTTTATATTGTCTGGACTTGAAAAGAGACTGACCTCTGAGTTTGTTTCGGCATTTCTTCTCAGAGTACTCAGATAGGACATGCCGGCTTCATCTAGTTTTTCACATATAATTTGACGTGTAAAAGTGCCGTTTTAAGGCCTATTTGCAAAAATAAATTCATTGTTTCATTGTTTCATTACATAAAAAAAAAAATATTTAACGTTAAGCGACATATTTAGTTTAACGATATTCAAAGTATTGGATATTTAAACCAAAATTTTCATACTAATAAACTAAAATCAAAATGCCAACCTGCTAGTAATAGGGTAATTGCTAAATAGTTATAAATATTCTAATGGAAAAAACAGAAACTATAGAATAAGATTTTGTCCGGGATTCGTAGATCTGACGTCATAACTTTTTTGCACATAATACTAGCCATAAATTTTATTCTACTTATATTTTACTGTTGATTATTTTTTCACATTTTTGTTACTAAGAAATCAATGACTATGATTGATAAAGATGAACATAACTTTTCACGAAAAAACTACTCGTTTTTAACTAACGTATCTGAAATAAACGTTGGCACAGAGATATGATATAAAACATAGGCATGTTACTCAGGTCTAAGCTATTAATATATAAGTGAAGTAGCGAGCTTACCTCTGCGGAGTGTCGGTGAGGCTGGTGGCGACGGTGGCGTGCTGGAAGTGTGGGAGGACGTGGGAGTGCACGAGGAGGTTGTAGTTGTGCTGCACCACCTGGTACGGGATGTTGTTGTTCAGCGACGTCGAGCACACCGGGATCCCGGTCACCGGGTCTGTCGGGAAACGAGCCTGCGTTACTATTCTCATTGGGACTATTTCCAAGGACAATGGATTAGCATTAAAAACATTTTTGTCATGAGTCTAAAGCTTAATTGGGCATTATTTGTTGGTATAAAAATAATATGGATTCTACATGTCAAATTTTGACTGTAGAATTGATAGTCTGATTATTATACATTTTGACCGGCTTCATCTACTTATTCACATATAAATTGACGTGTAAAAGTGCCGTTTTATGGCCTATTTGCAAAAAAATTCATTGTTTTATTGACGTTCTTAAACTAACTGTATATTACTTTTAGTACCTATTTAACTTTGAACTGTTGAAATACTACTTATCAATACTTTATTTATAAGTACCAAACTAGATCCCGATTTTGGTATTAGTTGGGTATGATTTTAACATGATTTTGACTGCACGGTTGACACAGTGGTTGGGCAACTGGCTGCCGTGCAGCGTGTCGCGAGTTAGATTTCCACAGGAAACAATTCTTTGTGTGATCCACAACATATTGTTCCGTCTGCGTGTGATGTGACTTGTTGTTTGTAAACGAACCCACGACACAGAAAAAAATCCTAGAGTGGTCAACGTTTTTAAAAACAAAACAAAGAAACAAAATTAAATTTTAATTGTTACATAAGTGATTAAACTAACATGACCTTACATTACAAATGTATTTAAAAATAACAGCGTACTTATTTAAGAAAGAGCTAAGTTCACTCACCTAAATACTGCGAATACTTCTGCCAGGAGTTTTGCGAGGGGAAAATGCGTACGAAGCCACCACGGCGGGCGTATTGCGCCCTCACGGCGCGTACAAGGCGGAGTTCCTCCCCAGTGAGGGAGGCGAGGCCTGAGGCCGCGGAGCCCGAGCCAGAAGTGGTGGTCCCCGTCGTCGTGGTCCCGCCACTGCCGCCGCTGCCGTGCGCCTCCGACGACGTTCGCTTGCCGCGCACGAATACATTCTCCGCCGAGTGAACGCGACGACACTGGATACAAAGCAAATAGGGACGTGGAAACTTAAGCTTTACTTGAGGCCTAATTCCCCACCCCGTTAACATCCCCAATCCCTAAACCTGGAAAGATCGACAACGCACTTGTATCTCCTTGATTTGCAAGCGTCCATGGGCGGCGCCGATTGTTTAGGTAGGTATTCTCAACTCTCAGGTATTAATTAGCTTCCAAACTAATATTATAAATGCGAAAGGAACTCTGTCTGCCTGTCTTTTCTTCACACCTAAACTATAGACATAGTGGAACTCTAGAAAGGACATAGGATAGTTTTTATACCAAAAATCTGCAAAGTCACTATTCCACGCGAACGGAGTCGCAGGCAAAAGCTAGGCTCCCATAAAAAACCTCGCTACGCATATTATAGCATAAATATCATGCCATATAGACTACCATAGCAGAAATAAACAAACACTTAATTATATGGAATCAAAATTGAACTTACCGCTCCAATCCTCATCTTGAGGGAGTTGCTCTGGGTGGAGATGTCAGCCTTGGTCATGGGCACAGCGGGGAGCCCTACCAGGGTGAGGGTGTCTGCCAATAGGGCAGACTTTACACGGGCATCCAGGGGACTCTCGCACGCTAGGCTGGATACAACCAAGAGGAAAAACAATTAGAATAAGTTATAATAGAAATGGAGTACAATAATTAAGCAATTTTTTGACTAGTTATACTTTTTAAAATTGCTATGCGTTTGACCCGTCTTCAGTCATTTTAGCTGACGTCATATTATGATGTTCTTGTATGTGCGCAAACACTTTTGCACTATACTATTTCCTAATGTTATCTAGTAAGACAGATGGCAGGCAATAAAAATGGATCAGGTCATTCTTTTTGCTGGTGTTGGTTAGGTTTCTAAAGGGATAAAAAATTGTATTAATATAAAATCATGTATCGTTTACCTGGGAGATAGATTGATTTCCAACAGCCACGGTTTCAGCATGTCGTCGATGAGAATATCATAGCCGAACAACTCTGAAATACAGACAACATCTCATTTACTGGGAAACTTGAAAGATAGTGTATTGATTGTCCTATGATAATTTTCTTCTCCCCTAGGTAGAAAATCATGAAATTTACAAACTGATTGATGACGATTTGCGACACTAGCGCCTATCAAATCTTTCGTTATTAGACTTAAAAAAATAAAAACTTCACACTTTTTAGTAATTTTTCACGTTATAATGCTTTCATTAAAAAAGAACTTGAAAAGTGATTAAAAACTGAACCGTACTCCAAAAACAAATAAAATTGTGCATTGACTTCCCTGAGACATATTAAATTAATTATTATTTTTATTTTATAATAGCTTACTCACGGAAGTGTTTGACTTGGAACGATTAGTTTCAACGCACGTTAGGATCCTCATATTAATAGGCACCATTAAGCGTTACTTTTTTTTTGTTAGGGAAAATCATCAAATGGTTTCTCTCATCCAAGGTGAGACGACAGACTCTTACGGTCTATGCCTTCCCCCCATACCTTCTCCTGCTTTAGGCCGAGGTCGCGGTATCTTATTGCGTTTGCCACGCAACCCTGACTAAATATCAGCCCCGTATGGCTTCGTCAGTGATGGTATATTGGCTCTATTAGGCGCGTACCGTTTGCTTGGGAATATACGACCTGGCCTCGTTCGATGATCCTTGTCATACAGTTATTTAAGTAAATTGTTAACAATAACCAGTAAGAAGACTCACCGAAGCAATTAAAGAAGTTAGGTACAAATACCCTGGCGGCCGCAGTGATGGTTTGAGCTGAGGACAGTATGGATTTGACGACGAGATCCTCTATAGCGGCCATTAATGCTGTAGTATTACGGCCCTGCTTACGTAGGTGTCTGAGCAAGGCTGACAGGGTCCATTTGTGACCTATGTTGCCGGCGTTGGGGTCGTCACACCTAGGTAAGGTTGAAGAAGCCTTTAGAAATTGTTTTGAAAAAAAAAGGCCAAGCTTCAGTCCGGATGGACCGCCTCGACCGAAGTGATACGACAGGATACTGGTGTCAAACAATACTTAGGTTGTTCCGGACTGTGAGAGAAGTTACCAGAGGCCCAATCTTAATGGTTTTTATTATGTTTTCAAAGTAAATGAGAGACATATTAAATTTATTGATAATAATGACTGAATTAACTTGAGTTGGTTGCGACTGGCTTGCGTCGCCACGACGCTCAAGCTGCTCATGTATAAGGGACCCGTTTTGACTTGAAACTAGTCGAGCTTTTCTCAGTTAATACACGTAAGTCGTTATTTAAAAAAAAAACTGATAATTATCCTGAACTGATGGAATGATTCGGGGGAGTACCCCCAAGTCAAAGGAAAGTTGGAGAAGCTTAGAGACATTTCGAAATCATTACAAAATAAAATGTGTGTTTTGAACACCTAATAAACTAATAACAAATTTGCCTTAAACAACTTACTTGATATAATCCGTGTGGTACTTATTGATGCTGTAATTGCAGAGATGCATGCAAGGATTCCAGAGGTTCTTGTTGGTCTTGTCATATTTCACTGTAGCGAACCTCACGAGGCCCTCCTCATACAAATATATGAGGAGAGGGTCTATAGAGGTCACGCACACGTAGAGTCGGAGGTCACATTTATGACCTCCTATTAAAAGAGGTTTGTCTATATATTTTGCTACTACTACATTCTCGCCTTTTGGTATCTGCTCCGGCTGTGAAATGAGAACTTTGGATTAGTTTTTATAGTGTATTCGAAAATAGACTTTATTGACTATTCTTTTCAAGGAATCATATTAAAGTTCATTTCTTATAGTCTTTTATGTTCTTTTACAGCAGCATAAACTCAGCATGTAGTATAAATATACGACTGAATTGTAATATACGAAATAATACCTATCCTTAAGGATTAAGTTGTAAAGAATTTGAGATAATTATTTTTCTTATACTAAAAAGCTTTCAGCTTAAAAAATGAGGAATCTATCAATTTAATATTCGTTTTTTTCACATCAGCCTATCAGTGCCCACTGCTGAGCAAAGGGCTCTTTACACACGGAGAAGGCGAAATAATCATAGAATATAATCTTGGAAAATCACATTGGTACTTGCAAGGTTTCGAACCCACACCTTGATGCAAGAGAAGCGACTTTGTTTCTATCTCATTCATTTATTCTTTTAACTCAAACTATTCTTGTTAAAAAAATGTTGAAATAGATAAAATACTCACAGAATTAACAATATAAATCCCGCGACCTCTACTTGAGGCGGCCGGCTTGACTATCCAGGGCCCCTTAGTTCGGTAATGGGTGGAGCATAACTCCTTATACTCGGCCGGCATTAGGAATGTGGTGGGTATAAAGTCGAACTGCTTCAAACCTCGGAAATACTGCATTTTTTCTACGTTCTTGAATAGTTTATCTTTACGGGTCAGCTCGTAGGATCTGGAGAAAGAGTATTAAGTTAAAAAAAAATAGAGAAGTAGCTAAAGGGGGATTTGGACTTGGGACTAAAGGAGGTAATGTATACTCTTTCGATTATGGGGACGAGGGACAAGGCAGGTACAGCGGGAAGGTACAGTTTTGCCCTACTAGGTACAGGCAAACATAGAGTCATAATATCGAAGTGTGGAAACTTGTCAGGGTCTCCCAGAAAACGGGCGTGAAACAACCACAGCATTGTGTTCCAGTGACATGCCTAAACCCCTAAGTGTCCTTATTCCCAAATGGCCAGCAACGCATTCACCACTTCTTTTAAAAACATATCGTAAAACCTGATAGATCTTTATAGATCCTTAAGCAAAGTTTTGTTACATAGTTTACCTTGGAAAATGATTGACTTTCTGGTAAACCTGCATGGATTGGAGAACATCGAAGGGGATCATTGGGGCGGACCACATGAGGTTCCACGTGGGGCAGTCCTGGTCCACCTCGCACAGGCCATGCGCGTTCAACAGAGCTCTGACCAGCTGCGGCCTATAGTGAATTACTGTCAGTATTCTTGAATTATGAACTTTACAACATATAGGAATAGGAATGATATTTCCAAAAAAGTGATCCCCATGTCTTGCAGATAACAACAGCTTTACATGGACTTCGGAACACACCACAACTTACATATTTTTGACCATATGATATCAGGATTCGAAAGGGGAGTCAACAACACTGACAGTAATTCACCATTCCCCGTTATTTTTTCTCACCTGGGAAAGTGATTCACTCGTTGATAGGGTGACAGGGATCTTAGGACGTCAGGCTTCGGGTGAAGACCAGACCAGAGAAGGTTGAAGTCCTTGGTATCCGAAACCGCCTCTTGAAGACCGTGGGCTTGGAGTAACCGGTGCAGGAGTTTGGTCTCGGTATTCACCAGTTTATACGTGATCTTCAGAAGACGAGCTGGCATATGACTACTTTCTAGGACCTGGTAGGAAGTTGCAGGATAAATAGTAGCAGTTTATTAAACAGTAGGCTCAACTTAGAAAGATCATGAAAACATTAACGACATAATGTGTTCAGGGTCTAAAGAAGTTGTCAAAGAATCATATTGCGCTTGGTGAAACATAAAGGCTTATAGGTTTTGAGGGCGAGAGATAATAAAATGACTTTTCTCAACCAAGGTATTATTATATTACTGACTAAAAACCAGCCCGTTCCTTTCCCCGTTCCGTGCCGAGGCCGCGATACATTATTACTTACAAGCCCTGCTAAACATTCGCTCTATTGCAACCCATCTGATACCCAATAAACTGAAATAACAAAAAAAAAAATAACCCGACGAATTGAGAACCTCTTCCTTTTTTTGAAGTCGGTTAAAAATAGAAGACAATACAGTATTATGAAAAATATAGGATTTTTACTACCTTGACGCTCTCTACCTCCTTGACCAGCAGACGTTCAGAGTCGTCGCTGTCGAGATTAGGTGAAGTGGCTCGCTGTGACACCGGCGTCTTCCGCTTGTGCTTCCCTTTGTTCTTCTTTCCTTTCTTGTCATCTTTACCATCTAGACAGACGATTAATCAAAATCAGAAAACGTATGAGGTTACTGAAACCTTTTTGTAGATGTGCTTCTAAGATAGCGTACCTTTAGAAGCACCATGGGGCGGCGGCTCTTCAGGAGGCTTGATGTTAGCAGTCGTGTTCTCTATGTTCAGATGTTTCTTCAGCGTGATCTTACTCAAGTCATGGAGCACGTCTTCGATATCCCTCTTGTGTGCACTAGGGTCCCGTTCCTCGTGTCCCTGTTCGTCCACACACACCGTCTCGGCGAGATTGGAATCACTTACATGCCGAACCACGTAAGCATTCCCATTATACTTATTATTGCTACTCCCAAAAGTCTCCATAACATCGTGCATTATATTCTTCGATCTCATAGAAAACGTGTGCGGTTCCGCTACCAATCTCCGCGCCATATTCTTAGCTTTATTCAGTAGTATTGTTGTCCCCGTGTTGTTCCCTACCGTTTTGGTCTCCGATTCCACGGAAGGAGTTCTAGATGCAAGGACGCACGATCTGAATACCAGAACGGCGCCCTTAGAGCCCAGAGGCCCTCCCGATATCCAATCCGACACCGAACCTTCATTTTCTTTGGTTGAGGCTTCATCATCACATTTTCGCATTCTGTCTTCGTTCGGTTTGTCTGTCATAAGGCCTGACGTAGACGGATTCGAGGTCTCTGATACATGTGGACTGTGGAAACAAGATAACGATATAGATATATAAAGTTTGTAAAAATTACCGCACAGTGGACCAATAGCATTACACTCAACGTAAACGTGATGGTGAGGACGAGTCAATAGCTGCAAATACTACTACCAATACTCTTTTGTGAATCAATGTAATCATGTTTCAATTCAAAGTGATTCCTGTCAATACAGTACGGTTTGTGTAGCCAGCAACTACCATAATATTTGCACTGGTGTCGAAACACGAAGGTTCAGCTTGCACTTGTTTTATCTGTATGCATGAATGCTTTGTAGAGTTCAGGGGAAAAGTTAAAGTGGTCCAAAGTGCGGGAAAACTAGCAGCTTTCCTTTAAGATTTACATTTAATTAACATTGTACATTCTAAACAAGATATCATGCGCTTAAGCAAGTCATGCAAAAATATAATATTGGGTTATAATAGGTACATACAGAATTCGGATACAAGCGTAACCTACCAATAAGTTAGCTTCAAAACGTGTTAAAAATTTTAGAAGGTCGCAATAAAAGCGTTGCAATAAACAAGCGTGGCAACATATGGTCGCTACGGTCATTCAATGAGGCGATTGTCCCACCGTATATGGCAAAGGTGGGTATGTACATAGATTCTATTGAATCGGTTTGTTGTCAAGAGTGACATACTTGCTTTAAATCAGCCTTTGACCGACTGTATACAATAGGTAGTATACTCCAGTAGTACTTAGTAGTGTTCAATTATGGTGCATTGAATTTGTTAATCTCGACAACTAGAAAACATACTTGTTTTCAAGAATCTATAAACTGGAACAAGACAACTGTACTAACTACATAAAAAGGTTTAAACCCAACAAGAGAGAGTACTTTCTACAGAATTCGTCTCTAGATATTTTTCCAAAATGCTTCCCAGTCACTATTCTGTTGTTTTGCCATTTGTTAAAAGTGCTTCAGTAACTCAAATGGTTGAGAGTCTTGACTCAAACGATCCCCAAAAGACAACCTTACCTACAACAAAATAAAACCTACATCAACACCTAACGGAAAACCTATCAATCCATTAATCATCGCCGACATTAAAAAACGCATTAATAATATAATATTTACGTAATTAACAGATATGTATTCAAAACATTCGTGACCCATTTGGGTGCCAATTCATCAGTCACCGTACTTCTCCATATTCGGTGGCATTTACGATCCAAACTCAAGAAAATGGCGGACAAATTCTGATTTCTGCACGCAAACCTAACTGTCAAAACATTTATGAATACAGTCTGCATCAAAATTCCAATCGAATGGTACAACTTGTTACGAAATAATATGTAGTTTGCAATTTGAATTTCAGGTTTGTTCTCATATGTGCATACGTATTTTGCAGATTTGAAAACCGTAAATTTGATGTATTTTAATGGCTGTTTCGTTTAATGTTGATATATAAGTATGGCAGAGCCATGCTTCGGCACAAATGGGTCGGCTAGACCGGAGTGATACCATGGCCTCACAGAAAACCGGCGTGAAACAACCACAGTGTTGTGTTTCGCCGTGTAATGGTACCGGTACCAGAGGCCCAATCCTTCTTCTCCCCCAATCCCTGCATCTTTAAATCCCCCACGTAACTCCTCTGATGTTGCGGGTGTCCATGGGGCTGATTGCTAACCATCAGGTAAACCGTCTATCGTTTGCCAAAATATCACATTAAAAAAATCTTGTAAACCGCAGACCGTGTTAATAAGCTTTTGGTGTCCGGAGGTTAAGGCGGTCCGTTTCTTTAGCATGAGGATGCAGGTTCAGCAACTGGCAAATGCCAATGTGACTTTCCGAGTATGTACTTACTATGTTTATTTAGAAACCTCTGACGTACGGTAAAAGAAAACATCGCGAGAAAACCTAGACTTATAATTTTTAAATTATAAGTTCGACATCACCAAACCGCCTAGAGTAATCGTGCGAGAATAGATCTTTGCTCAGAAATGATGCTGGCTGTTGATGACATTTATTCAAATAGGAACGCGTAAAGAATGGACAAAATAACGAGTCTAATGAATCTCTACTGAATTTCGGTCACGTATTTAATTAAGAAGTTAAACACTTATTGATTAAGCATGACCAATTCCAATCTTGACTTTGTATAATAAAAAGGACACATTTATTCGTAACAAAAAAAAAAACAAAATCAATATGCCATAATGTGTCCATCCAGCGTGACGGAGCTTATAACCAAGGGTTGCCAAACGAGAGTTTCCGTAGCAACGAGTCCTATCGATCGCTGGTTTTATGGCCACGTGGGTACACGTTGAGGGAGACACCCTTGCGATTAGGGTGCGGACAACGTACCGAGACTGACTTCCTTTTTTATTTTATTTTTTTAAACCTGTTCCGTGATAAAAGATAAAGTAAAATAATCGCTTGCATAAATCGATTAAACTTGGATCAATAATCGCTAGCGTTAATCAATTTAACTTGGACCGGTGCGCGTGATGGTCCACGTTTAGTTTCCTATAGATAACTGTTTGTTACAGTTTATGTTAAAGTATAGGTATTAGCAACTAAAATGGGAGTGTCGGGAAAATATGGCCAATTAATTTGAACTAATATCTTATTGTATTTCTTTTATTGTACATCTAATTTCATCGTTTCCTTTTCTTGTTACGGTAGTATTTCTTGTATGTCAGTCAGAGAAAACTTTATAAAAGGGACAATAAAACCAAAATTTAAGATACCACAGGGTTAAGCCTTGCTTATAAAAGTGGAGTAAACTCATTCAATTGTCAGCTAAAAAAAATATATGATGATTCCTATGCTTTGCATGAATACACAACAATTCAATGTCTTTTTGTGGGGGGGAAATCATGACTTCGCCCAGGAAAAGGGGAAGGGGGAGAGACAGACTCATACTAACTAAAAATACCACTATTCCTTCTCCTGCCTAGGCCAAGGCCATTGTACCTTATTGCGCAGGCCTAGCAACCAACAACTCAATATCTATATATTATAATATATTATAATTTCCGTCTGTGTTAGAATTATAAATAGAAACTTAGAAATACAATTGCATCTTAATAAAGAATGTCCCCTGACTGTAGCACTCTTTATACATATAAACCTGAAACTATTCCTGTAATCCTTGGTCCTCCAGAGATCAAAGTTTATGAAAATATACATATATCCAAGATTTCCACAATAAATACTAGGTACTGTCCCGTGGTGTTTCATAGCCTATAGCGGACTATAGCCTTCCTCGATAAATGCACTAAAAAACACTAAACGAATTGTTCAATTCGAAACAGTAGTCTCGGAGATAAGCGCGTTCAAACAAACATACTCTGCTCTACAGCTTTTTAATATTATAAAATAGTATAGATAGTATTATATTAGTATAGGTAAAAAATCTGTCAGTTACTAGGGAATAATCTGCTTTATGACGTCACTTTCCCGCTCCGCTCATCAATGAATCAGCGACCCGATTATACCGTGCCGATTCTTGATGCAAGCCGCGATACGCTGCAATTCTGTTCCGTACAAGACGAACTCGCATGTTTCCTTACAAAGCTATTTACGTATAGAATGCATATTCATTAACCAGGCCAGAATAAGTTTATATTAGCTTTGTTGAAGTCTCAAAATGGTACTAGGTACAGTGATTGTTATTTTTTTTTTCTGTTTGTTCTTGCGTGTGAATCAAGCTGTTTATAGGTACAATTATTATAAAGGATTCTATTATAAATGCATACGTTGTTAGATTTATGTATAATAAGAATTATTGCTTTTTATTTTCTTTGTTATTTGTTTTAATTTAAAAAGCGAATGGTAGCTGTAAGTATATTTTTGATTCTGATAACTATTCCGTTTTTTTTTTTGTTATGAGAGCCATGTGTGTTGTATGGCTATAATTATACATAATTATAATATATATAGCTTTAGCATTAATATTATTTTACTCACGTATTCGAGTTCATTAACCGCGCATTGTTAAAAATTTAAGTATGACCATTGGACCACAGGCCGGTAAAACTAGACACAAGAATAAAAAAAGTGTCAAAAAAACTTAAACTCGTAAATATTTATATTAATTAGATATTAATAAATATGAAAACAACACACTAAGAAAAAAAACCATACCAAAACTAATTCACGTAACGTAAAGAAAAACTTACAACAAAACTTATTACTTATAAAATTAAAAAGCATGACTCAATAACCACATGCTTGGCCTTCCAAAAAAAAGCAATCTAAACCGTTGCAAGTACTCACACAAAAACCATGGCTATTTAATTGTGGAGATATTGAGTCAGCGGCCCAAATATATCGATGTAAATAAACAATACGGGGTCAACGCAACGACGCAACACGTCCGTCGCGCGCGAATCACGCCGAAAGACTGGTGATGACTGGCTGGTTGGGAAACGCGGGAACTGTGATTCGTGGTGACAAGTGCACGGATATAATAATATAAATGCAAGGGTGTACCCTTATTGTATGAGTGTATTGTGTGTTTAACTTGAGCATACTTCGTTCATTAATACCTGTCTCCTGTCTGGGGACGGTTTTGAATTCAGTTTAGTGTATGTGATATTCTATGCAGTCCTTGACAAGTAGGTAGTCAAATAAAAAATTTATCGAATGTGACAATCAACAATTTTTCCGTAAGATTTCTACGGAATTGTGTGTTGTGACGTCGTGTTTTTTAACTTGACTTTGACGACTAATTAGTAAGTAAGTATTTCTTGAAATTTAGCTAGAAAGATACAAACATTGTGAAGAATCAAATAAATTTAAGTGTGACTTGCTTATTTTTAAAATTCATTCACTCATTATTTTCAGACCTGAAACAATTTAATTGTCAAGCCAACTCAATTAACATGCGTAATATTATAAATGCATATTTAATATTATAAAGCTGAATGAGTTTGTTAATTTTTTTGACGCTTATCATCGGAACTACTGGTTTCGAATTGAACAATTCTTTTTATCTTAAAAAGTCTATTTATCAAGGGAGACTACTAAGTGTAC